CAATCATCTTAATTTTGTGTACCAGGATTTTTGCATCAAAGACAGTTAATTCCTCAAGTTATAAACCATTGAAAATATGAACAGAGTGGGGAATAGCCTGGGGATCTGGGAGAAGAGTAGAAACTTTGAAAGTAATGAAAGGTAACAAGTGGATAAACATGAAATGAACACTTTCATGTCCTTATTTGTTGATACCAGTTGTGTAAAAGGTAACATGGCAGCGCTTCCAGGCTAAAGAGTGCGCTAAAGAATGTTCACAGCCTGGGATAATCTTAGAACACAGTAACAGTGAATGGTAATCAGCCTCATAAGAGTGCTAGCAAATGAGCTGCTCATGCTTCTCGCTGTCCAGAGAGCGATTGTAAAATTAAGGAGAAATCTGTTACGAGATTTGACAGGCCTTTCGGTGAAGACACCACCTTTGATGGCTCCAGGTTTCTAAGGGTGAAACACTGAAAGAAACGAGGTTTTTTTCAAGGAGGAGGAGAATCAATGACATGTGTGCATATATGTTCCAGGTAAAAACTGAAATTATGAAACCATAAAAATTGGGCATTTGAGATTTGTCACAATATGCCCAATTTTCAATTGTCTTCATGAATCTGTGTTACACCAACAGTGTAAGTAAAGCAGAAGTTTTCCATAAGTACCTCTGGGGATTTTTTTGTGGAGGCTCCAGCAGTTCTAGAGTTAATATTTTCTTTTTAGTCGGAGCTCCTACTCCCGCTGTACACTGCCATCATGCAGTTCCTTTTCCAGTTAGGAATATGCCTTGGCATTTTGTTTTTAATGTAGGCTGACACTTGACTTAACTCCTAACATCTCTCTTGCTGCTTAAAATCCACATTTGTAATCTATTATATACCAAAGTCTGAGTTCTACCAAAAATCACAGCAGGCTTCATACAACTTATTTGAGACTGTCACTGAGCTGTAGGTGCTATTATTTTGAGATCAACTGTATTTGTAGTTGTCTTGTTCAGAAAAATTTTAAGTACTATGAAATAAAGTTCAGATTACTAATACTCAAAAGCAGTATAAATCCTGTAAAGCTTCTAGGATCTTTTGGTTGTGCTTTTTTGTAACTGGAGATTATAATTAAAAATATACAATCTTGAACATGTGAATAAACAGATGGCACAGAAAAAATTGTTAGGTTTAGAAGTCATGGGAACTTCCTCTGTTCTGTTGCAATACTTCCATAGTTTTGGGGAGTGGGATACTAAAATAGGTTGAAGATTTTAATTGGTACGTCATGAAAGATGGTAACTGAAATGCAGAGAGTTGCATTTTCTGCCTTTTATTTGTTCCTCCCAGAAGATGTGTAATGGGCATATGTGGGGCTGATACTCCTAAATGGCTATTACTCCATTAAAAATGTCATCTGTCTTCAGGGCACTCATTTTAATACAAAAAATTGAGTAATGCTTGCTTTCTAACTCATCTTTCAGCAAATTGTATGCTAATGTTCATGCTAGTAATATACGAGTATTGGGTTTGGTGGCAAACCCAAAGTTTTAATTCAAAAGGAAATAAAACTTTGCCTGCTGTGAGAGGTCTCTCAGGTACCTACCATTTTTTAAACAGGCACTCTTTGATAAATAACTTTTGTTGCAAGTAATGTCACTGCTGTACTGCCCTGGCACGGTGCTGCTCACAGCCGTGTTCCAGTGGCCTGTTAGCACTGTGTGTTTATCAGAGCAGATGTGGTAGGTGATGTCAGGAGTTCACTTGGCCCAGTGCCTTGTCTCTGACAGTAGCCAATAGCTGGTGTCTAGTGAGCAGGCTAGAATGGGGCAGATACAGAGGGTGCTCCCTCTCTGGAACAGGATCTCAGCTTCAAGTAATTTTTGGCTGAGAAGAAACTCTGAGCTTACGTGACACGGTAATTATGGTGTGAAGTTGTCCTGTATGTTGTTGGACCCAACGTGCAAGTATGGGGGGGGTAAAATGACAGTTCCCCCTGCACCCCCCACCTCCTACCCCCCAAGGATTAGAGTAGTCAGAAATACAATATTGTATTTTTGTATCAAATGTCCTTTTCATGTCAGAGATACAATAGTGAGATAATATTTTTGTTTTCTTGCATATCTGTCCACCTTTATTATGTATAAGAATATGTACATTTCTTTTGTAGCCACGTCATGAATACTTTAATGTCCCAGTGTACTAAATGGCTTCATTCATCATGCATGCAGAAATTCAGAGGAGATAGACCTGTGACTTACTCATGACAGAACATTATCATCAGCTTGGTGAATCCAGTCATCTTGAATCTAATAGAATACCACAACCATTCTCTACTGTTGTACTTTCCTCTTCCCCCTCTGTTTTACAAGTGTTGTCTCTTCACATGTCTCATTTCAACAAAACTTGTGCTTGTTGGCATATGGTTTAACTTTTTTATTGTGTGTAAGTTTGAAGTCTTATGCTTAAGAGAGCTGTAGAATTTTCTGAGCTAAACATCTATATACTGCAACACCTATACCGTAATGTTACTTGACCTGTGCTTATCTTTCAAAAAAGTTGTGGTGGTATTTAAATATACACTTAAAACCTGTAGGTGAAGTTAATGTTTACAGAGAAACTAGTGAAGGAGTAGTAGTATGTGAAATGTGTATACACACTAGTATTAAATGATGTTACACACGATTTTACACAGACCTTGCGTCTTAAAGATGCACATACCAGTATCCTTTTCTGAGACTGGCATGACAGTGTGACTTACCTTATAAAGAGGAGGAAGGCAGAATTGATTAAGGCAAAGAGAATGACTTACATAAATCCGAAGTCACAATATTTGTATTTAAATGTTCAAAATGCTTTTGTGAGTTATTGAACAATTGCTGCTACTGAAAGAGAGATTAAGTTCATCGCTTTACAAATTAATAGTGGTGGAAAGATTTTTTTTTTTTTTTTTTTTTTAAAGCCAACAGCATACTTCAAATATGTTTTCTTCAACTGGCATTTCCAGTTTTAAATGCAGACTACCTTCTGTATCAGAGAACTGCCACGAGGACAAAAATAAGTACCTTTCAATTTAAAACTGTAGGCAGAGTGAGAGGGCATGTTTTGCCTTCTCTGCCTAGTAGAAGAGAATAATTCATAACCTAGAACCAGTGCTGGTTTTGAAAATTGTTTAAATGTAATTAGCAAGGAGGTGGTTACTGTGAGTAATCACAAACAGCTAGTTCCACGTACTATATGTGGTAATGCACTACCTTTTAAATGTTAAACTGACATAAAAATGGGACATGTAGGGGGTTAGACAGAAGATTTGGATTGGAATTGCAGCATTCTGAAATCTTAGAAAATAAGATCATAGGAGTGGTTTTCCATTTCCAAGTTTGCCTTTTTTCTGTAAGACATTAACAGTGTGTTTGAATGTCTGGTTAATGCTGCTTTAGCCTGCATTATTTCATGCCTGTTGGCTTAAAATGCTGTGCATTGAGCTGTAATGAGATGCTGTTTTTCCTGTTATCTGTATACAGCTGCTTGCTTCTAAATGACTAGGTAATGAATTAGCTTTCCTGGCATGTTTGAAATAAAGTATTGCATGCACTTTTGTCTCATGTGAATGACTCTTTTTCCTCATCTGTGTTCTGATATATTTCAAATTCGCATTGTTTGCCTTGGGTGATTCTGAGCTGCAGGTAGTGTATAATACTGCAGAATGTTTTCTGTAACAATTGGATAAAATGTTGGACACTTCCTAAAACAAATAATATGAACAAAATATAATTAATTCTCTTTGTTTCGTGAAAGTCTTAATTGATGAAATTATTCCTCTAGTGAAACGCATTAGCCTTTAGGTGTTCCTTTCGAGATTACATTGTTGATGTGCACATAAGGAGGCATGTCTGCCTCAGTGTTACTGCTCCAGTATTAAAATCTTACGGAGTTTTACTGGTGAGGTGCCTGTGGATGACTAGCCACTGTCCTCGAAATGCATTGCTTTAAATTCCTTGTTAGCCAATGGTCTAGAATTGCTTGAATAAATTTAATCTTTATCTAAGTATATGCCTATTGAAAATTACCCACAACTTTGAATTGGCAGCGGAGACAATAATACTAAATTGCTCTAAAGACAGTAGCAGCAGTGCAATGTATTTCTTCATGGCTATTGAGCAACTTTTTTTTTCAGGTAATTTAGTAAATATCCTGTTTCACCACTGAGTAACCGTGTCCACTGCTGCCTAATCAACTTAAACTGTGAAAAGTTGTTTTATTACAAATATTTTCAAGACCTTGAAATGCTTGAGAAGTTATATTCTGGTAGAATACTCTTGAGTTCTGTTGCCATAGTTAATGTAGGATTTTTTTGGAGTAAAAATGCTTTAAATTGGTAGATAAGGGAGATGCCCATCCTCTAAAATGAATGCAACAAAGTAATCTGGGAATATAATAAAACAGGTTATATTAAAAATGCTACATAGCCGTTTCTTCAATCAGTGTCTCCTTTTGGGGGATTTGTGTTAAAATGCACATGTAAATCTTTAATCCTGCCATCCTGTCTGGCTTTATCAAGGTCACTGCAGTTCTAAGAGTATCTAAATATTGCATAAGTAAGAAAAAAAAATGCTACATCTTTAATACACCGACTGTCTTGCTTCCAGTTTTAACTTGCTTTTTTCTTGCAATTTCTTATTTGCTGCTGGATTTTTGGAAGCCATCTGGAAGTGCTCAGAGGTGGCCTGTTCCAAGCACTGACTTACTTTCAAATGAAGTTGCCTTTAAAATATGATAGCTTGTTCCTTCAATACTACATCACCTTACACATGAACCGAACGAGGCTTGTAAACATGATAATTTTGTGCTATGTAGTCAAGGTTGATAGAGACAATATTCTGGTGTTATTTGCAAGCTTTGAGATGTTTATGTATTTTACTGACAATTTTTTTTTAAATAAATATTTAGAAAGCAGTTGAAAAAAAAAAAAATTGTTTGCTGCCTTAACTATTGTCTGCCTTTTTTTCTGCTTCATGGCATGTCTTGTTTTAGGATGCTAAAGTAAGTTTATTCATACTCTGGATACTAAAACTGTTTCCATAAGGACACAGTATCCCTTTTTATCTACTATGATATTGTTAATAATAATTATGGAAAAGGACAGCCTGATGTTTCTAATTAAACTATCATTTCAGATGCCATAGGAATACTGAATACAAAACTGATTATAGCCCTTTGGAATTTTGTATTAAACAACTTGCTCTCCACCTAAACAAAACTTTTTAATATTAGAATTAACTTTAAAACTTTGCCTGGTGTGGAATAATACAATTCCAATCCTGGCACTCCCTCCATTTCTGTAGAGGTCAATTCATCGACACCAGGAGTACCAGGGTACCTTGACCTGGTTTTATGAAAAGTGTGGGACTGGCGTAAAAACTCTTGACTCTTTATAGAGAGCATAAGGGATACTGTATCTTAGTTGCCATTGGTCATTTCATTTGATTGTCCACTTATGCATTCTTCTCTAACAGTTTTTGAGACCCATGAAACAATTCACCACAAAAATCACTGGCTCCATTACAAAATGCTTCCCCATCCCTCCCCGGTTCATATCTCTGCTACTGGGTTAAGATTTTTTTCCCTGCTGGTACATCTGAATTGCTTTATTTTTATTACGCTTAAGGGCAATAAAATCTACCAGCTCTTCCTGTGAACCATGACACGCTAATGAACAGCTCTTTGAAAAGTGCAGCTAATACCATGTTTGCAAACTGCAGTACTCTTATATTTTCATGTCGATCAGCTTCCCTTTTTTAATTAAGCATCTTTCATACTAACTCATGTACGGTACTGTTCCATAGAAGCACAGGGTCCATTTACCACTGTCTCAAATTTTCCCTCCATAGGAAGCAGAGACCCCACGTAGTGTACTTGAAGAAATTGGATTGACATAAATCTTCACTTCAGCTGCTGACATCTCAGTGTTTCATACTGTAAATGTTCACTGCCTTCATTGTAATGTTTAGCTAATGGTGTAAGATGCTGTTTGTCAGTATTACTGTTTTGCTAAGCTGCTTCATTCAGGCCTACGAGAAAAATACTCCTTTGAAAAGGGAATGAGAAACTAAAGTCCAAAAGTCATAAATGAAAGGGAATTAGATTTAAATTGACTCAGTGTCTCCCTTCACTGCATTTATAGGAAAATTGCATTTGACTTCAGTAAGTGTACTGTTTTTTATAAGCAAACTTGACTTCAGGAAATAAATGTATCATTATGACATAGCATATCTAAATGAAAAAACACAACACAGACAACTCCAAATATGAAATGTCATGGTGTAGAAATTGTGTTTATGCAACCAAAGACTTTTGCTCATCTACATTTTAGTCACCGCTTGTGATAATTCTGCTTATTTCAGTTGATGCATAAAGATTGGAAGTACCTGTTTACTACTGAATTTGTCATTATACCAAAGAATCCTGTTCGGATCTGCATATCAAACTGGTAAAAACTGTTACGGTGATGCAGTTTTCTTGCAAAAAGCAGTTAAACTGATCAACTCACTAGAACTTAAGGTGTATTTATGTGTAGCTACCTTGAGCAAAACTGTGCAAGTTACTATACTAAAAAGGGAATGCATGTAGTTAATAAAAATAATTCCAAATAAGGAAACTTTTTAGATCTGATACTCGCTTGCTCTGACCATAACCACAAGAAAGGAGGTAGGCTTTCTGACTGTGTAGAGAGGTGCGTAATGAGAATTGGATACGTTTGAAGATGGAAAAGAAGGAGCCTTCCAAAAGGGACTTTTTTAAAAATTTTCTTCCAAACTCTACAGATTAATTTGTATTTATTGGTGTTTTATAGTTATGCTTTAATGGGTGTATAGGTACCTTGAAAAAAAAACCCAAACCACACAAATTGTCAATGTCATTTTAACTGCTTTTCTTGACTTACACCCTTAAGGTGTGACCCATCCCTTATGAACCTCCTGCACTGTGTGCGTTTGAACCAACTACTTTGCAGTGAGAGCTTCTAAATATTAGATTGGTGCAGTAGATGCACTGCAGGCCACAGAAAGCGATACCAAGTAGTATTTTGACACTTCTAGCAGACTTTCAGTAATTATAAACTAAACCCCTTTCACTTCAGAAAATTGCTGTAGGCTTTTGAGTTGGGAGGAGGCAGTGCCCCACGCCGCAGTAGCCGAGTTGTGCTGGGGGTCTGTGCAACCCCCCCAGCAGGCGCTGGGCTCTTCCCCCCCCTTCACTGCAAGAGTCTGGGTTGGGGCTCGGTCACTTGCGTAGCACCACCTTGTCACCACCCCTTGTTCCAAACCGTTGTTTCGGGGGTGCTGCCGGAGGTGCCCAGCTGCTGTAAACGTTTACACAGCCAGCTGCAGAGCTGGACCGGGGCTTGCTGCCATCTGGGTTAAATTTAAGCAGCCGGGAGAGGCTCAGCCTTGCCCCTTGTAAGTCCCCGGCCCCAGATCCTGGTGTGACCACCTGGGGCAGTGCTGGGGCAGCCTGCGAACGCACCGGGGTAGAATTTGTCTATTTAGGCCCTGTCTGGGATTTAAACAGAGCGGATGGCTGGAGCCAGTCTTCATCCTAGGGCACGCAAAACCGGGGCTTTGCGCCTCCTCAGTGTGCAAGGTGTAGGGATAGAGGCGGATAAAGTGGCAGCAGAATGACCGTGCGTGTGAGATTGAAGGGGTAAAATTACCTTAAGTCAAACACGAAGCAATTTTATATGTATTAAACATGTTTTTGAGGTTTACACTGTCACTTGTATGTGCTTGGCTGGATTAAGCTTTGTTGTGATTGTGACAAATAAACTGTTTGACCTCCGTCTGTCACATTGGTTGAGTTGTAATAAATGTCCATTTTTACACCATTGCTGTGTGTTTGTATGTGATTAGTTCTGGTGTGTGCAGAGGAAAGAAGAGGCTACTCGGTGCTAGCTTAAAAAAAAGGGAAATTTTATTACAGTGCTTAACCTGTTCTTGAGCACTTTATTAAAAAATGTGTGAGTATCCTGTGTCCAAGATTAGTTATTTACATCTGTTTAAATTGTACAGAAAGCAATAAATTAGCAAGTTTTTGGAAGGCTTACCACATTAAACATGAAATCTATTAAAGTGGATGTTAAACTGATGCGGTAGTGCCACTTCATCTGAAGATTAAAACAAACCACATGTTGAGAGAGGGTTCTGGGTAATACAGATGGAATGTTCAGTTCCTTACATGAAATTACGAGCAAGTCAATGCAACGTTCACAATCCTAGTTTCAACCCCAAATTCCTCAGATTAATTTGTTCTCCAGCTTTTGCAAAGAACTGAACTGTTTGACTATCAACAAAAGCAGGGGGAAAACTTACCCTTTTTAGGGCATTTCTTTAATATAATGTTTTTGTTTCCTCAAGTTTCCTGTCTTACAGGGGAGGGGCGGGGGGAAGCTACAGAACCAATTAGAATTTCTGGATTGTTTAGGCAAGCGATTGTTGGCTTAGAGCACCTTCAACTTCATCACTAACTCTCAGTCTCTCACCCGAAGAGGCCGCTCTAAGCGCCTGCTCTGCCCCCGGGGTTAAGGCCAGGACCAGGGGCACCCCTGGCTGCCTTTGTTCAGTGCCCGCCTGCCGTCGGCCACGCCTGCACGGCTGGCTTGGTCATCCCTCTCCTAGCTTAACCGAGCGTAACTTGTCAATGTTCTATCTTTTATTTTTAAATTCTGAATTCAGCTGATACATCAGTGCTGAATAGAAGGAGATGTGGAATCATCAGGGCTTATTTTAATTACAACCGACTTACGGTGACAGCAAAATCAGCTGCGCTCTTTAGATGATGTAAGAAAGTAAATGAAGCTTTTAAGTTGCTCACTAGCACAGACTTTCATATTTTGTTAGAAGTGCTGATCCAGGACAGGCAGCAATTGCATCTTTAAGCAGACTCCTACATTTTTTTTTTTTTTTAAAAACATAAACCAAAACCAAACAAACCAACAGAACAAGACAAAAAAAAAAAAAAAAAAAAAGCAACCCCAAACTGTTATTTAGCCCCCAGGAACGTCACTGGTAAACTCCGGGGCAATTTCTGATCGTGGGAACGCAAAACTGAATCCGGGAAAGCCACGCTGTCCCTGAAGGTGCTAAAGCTGGGCAGGCACTCGGGGCCCGAGCATGGGGAGCTGTGCCCCCCCGCTGCACCCCCAGTGCTCCCCCCGCTGCCCGGGGCCACCCCCGCTCCGCACCCCGGCTCTGAAACGAGCTGGTCGGCCGGCCCTCACCCACCAACCGCGTGCGACAGGGTTAGCCCCGGCCTTCGGAGTCACTCTGAAGCCCCACAGCGATCCTGGCAGAAGTCACAGCTGGAAAAAGAGAGAATTTGGAAAGCCACCGCTTTTAAGTGGTCGTTATAAGCAAAACAAAACAAAAGTTGGCCAATATTAATTCACTTTATAAGGTCCTGTTATGTGGAATACGCAGAGCAACGCGCAGCGAGAACAAGCTATTCCTTGCAAATTTAAATCCTTTCTGTGTTCTTCTGGGGCTTTTCCCCTTTGGAAAAAGAGAATAATTAAGCTTAACATGACAAAACTTCTAGTCTCTTTGTCTCTTCAGAATAAATAGCTCACTTGTCTAATAAACACAAAACCATGCATAACACTACTTAAGATTATGAAGTAGGGAAACAGTACTGAAATACATGAACGCTGAAGTTAGAAAACTGGTTGAATTCCAGGTTTCATGCTAACAAATGCAAACTAAATGTCAGATCTACAGCACTCAATTTCTGTGTAATAAACAGACTGCTTGTGAAAGTGAATGATAATTACAGCTACCAGCCCTGCACTGCACAGGTATGCCCAGTAACTTTGGGTCCAGACCTCAAGAAAAAAAAAGCTGAAGCCTCAGCCATTATAGTAGCAGAAATAAAGTATTTTAAAATTTTTACATGCATCTCTGAGCAAGGTTGTGGTTTTTTTTTTTTGTTTTTTTTTTAATTATAAGAACTTTTTTTTAAAAAAATACAGCAGCTCAGCTTCCCAGATCCCATTACAAAACTGTGGGGACAAGGAGCCTAATTACCTGTGGAATTCTCACACGGGTCTCAGTTGGCACTTGGTTCCTAACCCTACCGAGGCTTTGCTTTGCTCTTTTCACCCCCCTGACCGGGGGTTCCCACCACCCCCTTCCCCACTGCTTCCATCTGGGCTGGCTACGTGCCTGCGCCGGGGCAAGGCTCAGCGCCAAGTGCCGGGTGGCGCCGGGCGTGCGAGGCGCTACCGCCGGCCCCAGCCAGCCCCTCCCGGGCAGAGCCTTCCCCGGCCCCAGGAAGGTGGCACTGGCCTGCCCCGGGGGCGCCCCGGCGAGTAGGAAATGCCCGTTCAGTTCTGCTCCGGGGAAATGAACCCCAGTTTGCCACGCTCCACGCCAGTAACCCAACTAGACGAGGGAGCGCCAATGAAAAAATAGAAATCTCGGGGAAAATCTGTCTGTAAGGTCCAGTCGGAAAAGCATACGTGACGGGAGACTGGTGGTCACAAATTTCTCAAATATAATTTAAAACTTAGTGCTGTCTATCCTTTGAATAACGCCTTTCAAACCAAGTTACTATTTCAAAAGTTATGCTATTAAATTACAATTCCTACATCTGTTAATAACTAAAACATTTAATCAAATTAACTAAGCTACAATTCTGCCTACAGTTATGACACTATATAGTGAAAGTCGGGTTTGAACTGAACATCAATATATAGCACTTTTGTTGTATTACTCCATATTGGACAACAGTTACACATGAAGGAAGGAGAATGTATAATCAGCATGCTAGGTGCAGTATGCATTTAGAAAAGCAAAAATATATATTTTATATCCAGAAGCAATGTTCATTCACTCTTAACTATCCTGGGGAAAAAAAACCCATTCTTGCTGTAAAGAATGCTATCGTAAAGTTTGGAAATCCAGATTTTCTACGGGACTTTATGTTACATTGTTGGAGCCGTAACGATTACCTATTTGGGAGCACGTCATGTCTACTCGAGGCTTCTCACGGGTGGCCTGAACTGCACTCTGAAGGCCTGAGGAGCCCAAGGAGAGGCTCAGCAAAGGGAGGCATCTCTGCAGGCTGTCCTGGGCACCTGCACCTTCAGTGCCACAAACTGGTCTCTCCAGGCGCCTAAGGACACCTCGGAGCCCAAGTCAAACACCTGAAGTCAGGCACTGTGAAGTACAGTCCATTTAACAGCACAGGTCTTTTAAATTAAAGTGAAGAAATATTGGTAAGGATTTATCTAATCGCAGGTACTTTGCTAATACAGCTGTCATCATAAAAAGGTTTCTTCCTGATAACGTCATTTTTATGTACCCTACCCTCCACCTTGACCACAGGGGAGCTAAGCAGTAAGGTGCCTTAAACCGTTTGCAAAATAAGCCTAAGAAGGCCTTAAGCCCTCCTCTCCCCGAAACCTCAAGTATTGTTTCAGGTACAAACCCTTTGGTTTCTTTAGCCACTCCGCGACCATCCTGAGCCTTCACAGCCACACGCGCATCTTCGGTTACCAGGGGTTCGCTTTTCCACCACTCCATCGCAACTGAGGCACGCGGTTTTCAACTACAAATGGTATGCAAAGTATTTTCTATCCTCACTCGAGGATTACAAGTGCACGGTCTCCACTCTTACTTGGGGATTAAGGTACTGAATAAATTGATTGTTTTTCTGTGTACTTCCTACTGGGCTTTAGCCTACCGCAATCCCCACAGGCAATTAGCTCAGCAGCTCAGTCAGGGGAGAGAGAAAAATCCAACACTTATGACCACAAAGCTCCTACTGGGCAAGTATTGTACAAACAGTGATGTCTTTTAGATCCCTTTTCTCCAACTCGTAACATGATTATATTTACTCAGTCTAGAAAGAGACTTCCCATAAACAGATGGAAACTATAAATGGCAGTCTTCTACACAGACTTCAATTTGCAGTATGCTGTGGTGTGAATTTACAGCACGCTGGCTGTTCTGTACTAACTCCTTACAAGGACAGTAAACACTTAACACACACGTAACACAGAAATAAGCATATACCAAATAAGCTTTACTTCTCTTTCTATTTGTACTTGGTATGCGTCCAGGTGTTGCAGCAGTTCAGAGGGACAGAGTAGCTAGAGTACTTGACATTCACACCTTATATATTTTCTGAAGCTTAGCACACAATAAACTAAGTTCCTTTATTAGGAAGAAACATTTTAATGTGCAAGAACACTTTATTTGAAACTCAAATGTATCTGGTGCCCTACTGGAAAGATTTCTTTGTCAGCTCTATGTTTGATCAATTAGCAATTTCAAAAAGTAATTCTCACTTTGTTTTGGGAGTTTCACTATTTTTTCCTCTGCTGCTCGATCTCTTTTTACCCCTGCTCCTGGATCGAGAGGAACTCCGACTCTTGCTCCTGCTGCGTGTTCGACTATGACTTCTGCTGCGACTGCGGCCTCTCCTCTTTCTCCCCCTGCTGCGAGATCTCCTCCTCTCTCGGCTTCTTGACCTTCCAGATCGGCGCCTTCTCTTGTTTTTGCGGCGATTCTTTTTTCTCTCGGATTCTCCGTTTCTCCGGTAAGAATGATCTGGGCTTGGGCTGCCCCTTCTCCTTGACCGGCTGTAATAGTCATCACGATGGCTCGTTCTGTTTCTCCTTTCAGAGTTTTTAGACAACTGATTAGTCCGTTCAGGAGAAATACGTATGTCTCTGTTGGCCTCCCAAAACTCATTGTTTGGATTTTTGAATACATGAAGGAAGTTGCAGTGTTTCCCTCTTGGACACTTCTGCCTTTCAAATAAGCCTGCAACAAATTAGGGTTTGCTTTTTTATGAACCGGACCTGTTAAGTCTCTTTCTTCATTATGTACCTACTGGAAAGAAACTTAATCAACTGAATTTTGCTTCTCCAAACAGAAAAACATGCATCTGACCACCTACCAGTTCCATTCACACAAGATTAATTTGCAATATGTACTTTCCTCGGAATTAACTTTTTAACTGGTATGAAGGTTTTAGCTTAAAACAATTTTCATAAATAATTTTACTACCTTAATCTAAGAATGTAAATACAGATAAGTCAAATGCGATAGTTACTGCTAGAACTGCTGGTGGTTCAGAAACTGCCACTGCTTTTTGAAGAGATAAATTAGTACTTCCTGTAGTTTCACCTTAAGATTTTTATTTCCAAAGCCAGGATCCAAACTTTCTTTTCCAGTCCAAGGTAAATCCACTAGAACGATTCAGACACTTAGGTGACATGGTATGAATATTCCTTTTCTTTCCTAGATCCACACAAGCCAGCTAGTGTATTTGTCTTCAAAACAGAAACTAACTACAGCGTTAGGCAGATCTGAAAGCTACAGGTTAATTCCCTCTTTTTCACTGCCATTAAGTACTCTTCCAATAACACACGCTCTCTTCTCCAAATGTTTGTGTGACTCACCACATATAGCAGTTTTCCACCTTGTCACGGGACAAAATTCACAATGAAGCTGTCGGCCTGCATACCATCGTCCACTGAATAGAGCAAGAGCTGCCTGACAGTCCTTCTCCCTTTAAAAAGTGAAAATGACACACGGCATTACCATCATACAATCATTTAAGATGTTACTTACCAAACTTAGGCTCCCATTACAACAGGGGAATGAATCACTTGGACTCGACAAAGCGTTCATTACTGGACTTTGGAGTTTAGTTCTAAAACTTAGGAAGATTGCAAGTACTTACGTCTGATACTGGACATACACATTTCCTCGCAGGTGAGGCTCATAGTTGCAACTGACCTAAGGGGATGGAAACGTTAAGTAAGCTCAGCAGAAGGTTTATGCTATACAGCAGCGCACACATGCGGAGATGGCTGCCCTTCCAGTTTATGACAACTCATCACTATGAACTTCTATATGATTTCCTTCAGAACGCTTAGTTTCAGCCCCCCCGAAAAAAACAAAAACCACAAAAAAAAAACACAACAAAAAAACAACAAACAAACAAAAAACCCCCAAACAAACAAAAAAACCAAACAAAAAAACCACAACAAAACCAAACCCAGCCCTTCTGGCTTATGTTGTGACTGTTTCCAGCATTATGCTTTAACTCTCGGACCTCTGCTTCACTTGGTCCAGAAGACAGCTTGTACTCAATTGTCTAGCACTTGTCTGGGCCAATCCTATTGTGCAATAGCCAAAGCCTGCTCTGAAAACAGTATCCTCATGTGGAAATTCATTATAGCAAGAGAATCTTTAGAGCAATTTACCTTCACAGCATCCCTGTGAGACGAGTTAGAAAATCTGAAGTCACTAGCTTTCACTGTGCAATTCCAAAACACCTTTTTTCATCATGATTTAGCATTCAAAATATATCTAAAGCCCTCAAAAATACACAATTTAACTTCCAAAAAAGCTTGTTGCTAGTTACAAAAGATTCTGAGATGGGCAGGCCCAAGCAGGCTACAACCCAGTTCTCCAGGGCAGAACAGTGAGCCCAGCCTCTTTTGCCCCCAGGCCTCTTCCCACGTCGGCACTGGTGGACCCTCAGAGAACGGCTCTGTGCTCTGGTAAGGCAAGGACTTCAGACACAACAAGAAGCAGCTGTACAGTTAAATATTACAGAATAAGCAGTCCAAATGTTTGAGATGAAGAACGCCAACAGAAAAACAAGCGAGAATGATTTTGCCATGGACATTTTTGGGTGGGAAAAGAAGTGTGTTTGTCAGGATCTGCCAGATTCTGGAGTGGCTTCCCAGAAAGAACAGCAAGAATAAAACCTTGCGCTACACTGGAAAGGGAAGTCAGCTGAAGAGGGGTGCGTATAATCCGATTCTAAATGATAGCAGAGACTCAGCTTGATCGCAGTTAAGATCCCTGCAGCCAACACGTCATTTCTAAGCATCTCTAATATAATGGAAATGCCCATGAGAATCATATTACAGTTGCACAATTGCTTCAGAAGCTAAGAAAATGCTACGCTAAAAGCTCTTACCCCGTTATTAGTCATAGGGACCCAAGTATGTACAATTTAGCACAGCTGCATATAACAATGAAACAAAGTCAAGGATCGGAGTTTGATGGTAGGACAGCATTACAACCCACGCTCCACTGGGAATCTACATCCCGTCTTCTAGGATGGAGCACAGCTTGCTAATATCTCCCGTGAGTCAAAACATGGGGGGGATACTCCTCTAACCAAGTGAAAGTTTCTCACCCATAAAGCTCATTATACAACTATTGCAAATTCACTTTTTCTACTTTCCTCTTGGCTTGAAATGCTAATACAGTCTCAGTTCTGAGGCAGCTATCAGTAGATGGAAACAAAAGGAGAAAAGGCACTGCATGCCTCCTGGTGACTGCAGGAAACCACTCAGGAATGGCAAGCAGAAAGGGATGCTGCAATAGATTCTGCTACAATGAGATTTCACCATCCAAGCTGCATATTTTGGGGCAACATGGGACTGTTAACACACATCATTTGTCTCCGAGGTCTCCATTGAGAGGTCCCTCTTTTTTCCCCCCATTAAGAAATCATAATATAAATGGGAAAAATGCAGTGCAGAACGTTCAGCAAACCAAATGCACAAATGAAAGATGGATGACAAATCTCAACTCTATTTACATAACTTACCTTTTTATAATTCCTCCTACTGAAATATCTACTACCTTTTCAGTTCACTGTAATTTGATTTTATTTTATCCAAACAGTCCTAAAATTACATTTGTTTGGGTTTATGGTCCAAATACATTTTAAACCCCACTATTTCATTCCTTAGGCACAAATACAATAGCCCACATATATTTATATCGTCTAACAATCTTAGGGGACCCTCTGGATCTTAGCACGGGCTAAGTAGAGAAGGCACTGTGGAACAGTATGAATAATTTGCAATATAAAAGTACAAACTTTTATAACAGTTTGGGGGAACGGGAGAAAAGATTCACTCGGAGCAAGACAATGCTCTGTAACAGCAGCGGCGAGTTTACAGGTGACAGGAGAGATGCACAGTTTGTTGTAAGGACACTATAGTTCTCTAATGTACATGGGATTTAGCTAGGGCATGCTGGACAGAATTCCTGTTAAGGCTGGTAAAACACAACTTACGTGGTATACGTTACATATTTAACAAGCTATTACACTTAGGTACGTACCTTGAATTGAACAACCTTCCCCACGTTCTGGAACTCGGGGAGCACGTCCTCGTAGAACTCCAGAAACTGCTGGTAGGTCTCCTCATCACTGTACTCGAGACTCGCATCTGTGTCATAGTCATCTCTCCGGCACTGCTCCATGCCAAAAGTAATGAACATCCCCCGGACGAGTAGTGTCTTACTAGATGTTGGATAGTTATGCTTGCGAGAACACCTGGACATTTGTAGTGAAGAAAGAAAGTGAAAAGATCAGCACTTTCAGCAGAATATACACTTGTTGAAACTTCAAACACTTGCCATTTTGAGTAACAGTTATTACAAAAGAAAATCCATTAGTGGAAGATCAACGTATTTCAATTATTAAAACGAATCTTTCGGAAATGAGTTTGTGTATAACCTTAATGCTTTCTGCCATGCACAAATACATTCTTGCTTTAAAAAGCATGTCTGCAAAAGCTGTAGATACCAGTAACAGGGTAAGAGCTAAAGCAGTTTCTTCTAGGGCTACTAGGGTTACATTTCTGTGGGGCCCCATTTCTGTGGGGCTTTATAGAAAGACTGCTGACAATCTTTTGAGACGCTTTAAAGCAAGACCGTGCTTTTCTTTTTGCAAACTGAACAACTTCTGCTGAAGTTGTCATCATCATATGAGGGGTAGGGGAAGGGAGTGAGGGAAGGAAAGCACATTTAGATCTGAAGTTGGATGAGTACAAGATTGGTATTTTCTACTTGTAAAAAATTATTCTTCTCAGTAAGTCTTATCTTAATCTGTATCTTCTTGGCAGCCATAAGTATTAGATCTCCCTCACCATCCGTCACATTCAGCTACTTCCCTCATACGCTGCAATATGGTTCTCCCCTACAAACCTTTAGATTCAGTAAGAACACAGATGTTAGCCTCCATGTTTATTTCCCTGTGATTTATCATCTCCATTTCAAACACTTCCCCGAGCAACTGGGTCATGCACTTTCCAACACATTTCTCCTTTTTATGACATGATCAGAAAAGCAGTCAGACTAGTCTACTCTCTTATCTAGCAGTGACAAAGCACAGAAAAATTGGAGGGAGGTCAGGTCTCAAAATGGGTAATTACAACCTAGACTTCAGAAAGGAAGTTTCTTTCCACATTCAGTCAGTCGGAGATTGACTCTCACTTTCTGGTTGAGACCTTAAGACTTCAAAAAACAAACAACAGAACTCAAAACTAAAACCCGAGACAATTAATTTATTTTTTTAAAACATTTTAGAAGCTGCCACCTTTCACTGTTCTATTTGAATGATAGAACTCAAAATATTATACCCAACCAATATTGTCTGTACACAAAATTAATATAGCACATGACAGAAAAGGAACCCCATGGAAAATGCACGGCCCAAAGCCCAGTATTACTACAAAACATTAGGGTTTGAATTACTGGGGAAACTCATAACTGAACTTAGCCAGTATTAGCTTCTGCAAGACACAGTGAGCTTTGACAAGATTCAACAATTATTTTATTGATAACACTGGCTCTCAATTTTTCACCATCGTGGTCCATTTCAGCTTCCAACCCATTCTTATCCTAGCTGTATCTCAATCCTTCAAGTTACAGTCACCAGAGGTTAAAATGACCAGAATGTGAAGGAAGCGGGTTTGTGAGGAGGAAGAAGGAAGATGAAGGAGAGGTAGCTGAGATAAACAACTATAGGTGAGAGAAGAAGGGCAGAATATGATGCTTCTCAGTATTTATTTACCAACCCTATGCATAGTTCAAAGCAAAACTGATTTTTATACAATCCATAATTAACCCAAGGAGGCTGCCTCCATTAAATACCACTGAAACAAAAATACTGCAAAGATTACAAAGAACTAAACATTTGAAAAGTAAAAATGCTGTCTGCAGTGAAAAATCTGGCCAAAGTTTTATTTAGGAATTCAACACACAGAACAGAAAAAAGATGTGGAATTGAAGCTTCCATCGAGTTGGATTACCACATAATTATCCACAATATCCATCACACTAAAACAAATTAGTTCTAGGATAAACTACTATAGCTGGACCACGTGTTTCGGTGATACAAGTTTATAAAATAGCCTTATTAGTTTATGCTGAAGATTCACGTACTAAGTATCAGAGTCCTTCCCTGCTGAGCTACTGGCTCTTCCTTATCACACACAAAAATTCAACGATTTTCTAGACAGATGCTGCATTTAGGTCATCATCTTTAATGGCCACCGACAAACCTGTACTTCATGAACCCATCTATACTTTTGGCTTCCTCTATGTCCTCTAGCAACAAGTTCCACAGGAGAAAGTATTTTTTTTTTTTCTTAAAAAAGCTGGTAAACACTCAGGGATACCTAATTAAACTGTTTCATAATGAAAGCAAATAATCCTTCCCATTCTACTCATGAATTCAATGTTCATCTTCCACAGGCCTCTTCCATCATCTCCTTGAAAGTAAAGTCTAGACTAGTTAGCCGCCACTCCTACAGAAGCTGCTCCCCATCTCTGATCATCTTCTTGTCCTCTGTTCTTGCCTCTTTCTATACTTCCCTTTCGATACGGGGCACCCGTAACAGTATACAAGAATCAAGCATTAAATTTAAACACATTTCAACAGTATATAAACAGGAAAATTCTGGAAGCTACACAACAGCTTTCCAAACGGTGCAGATGTACCTTAACTTGCTCTAGTCCATTTGAAATTTTATTCTATTTTTCAGACAATGTAGCATATGCAAATTAAACAAGATAAAAAACCCATCATCTGACATATCAGGCCTGTACTAATAACAGAAACCAAATATATTCTGTCTGAATATATCTGTGCATGTGTCAGAGCTAAGGAAAAGTCAGCTTGACCTATGTAACCAGAATGCACCATCAATAATATGCCATAACAATAAACAGTTCAATTCCAGTCAGACAATGCTTTTGCTCTCAATGTCTAGTTACATCATGAGTAACAGAACCACATACAGTAATTTATATAGCAGTTTTTCTTCAGTTTGCATATGATCTAATGAAGCTGCTTCCCTTTCACCTCTCCAAAACGCTTCTATGCTGGGAAATACTCAATTGATTACCTGTCTCCAAATCGGCAGGAACCTGTTTTAATATAGAATGGGCAATTTGCTCTATCCTTCTCTGTTCCTATATTCTCAGGGGGCTCTGGATTATGCCAGGTCACACCATTCTCCAGCTGTGGAATAAACATTAAAATACACAAAAGTCATGAAATAATAAAGAAGAGTAATGTCAAAATAAAACTATCAATTAAATCCACATGCAATTATGAATACAAGGCAAGCTATTTTAAGCATTGTTTTACAAAGCTGCCCAGTGTCTGGGGTCTTCGGTGACAGGAACTTCTTTTCTTGGTAATTGTTCAGTTTTAAGAACAAATCTGTATTCATGACTTTTTTTTAACAACAAAAAATAAAACTGGATGTTTTCTTTTGCTAAAGGGAAAGCTTCTTAAGATTTTAAAACCAAAAGAGTTGCAATATATTTACTCCTCAAACAGCAATTTAATCTGTTATCCATGAGAATTACAAATATTGGGACAGGTTCTTTCCATTCAGCTAAGCCCATTACCCACTTCACTGCAGGACCCGCTGAGCAACACTTTATATATCTGGCAGATATAAAGCTAGGACTATTTAGTTATTTGTCTCTGCAACAGCTCAAAACTTAGTAAGGTTATAATTACCGCTTTTTATGCAACTAGAAAAGGCTAAAATAGAAATAACCTGCCAAAGGCCAGAATTAAAAAAAAAAAAAAATCAATTCAGATTTACCACTGGAAGTAAAAGCCTCCACACTGATCATCTTGGGCCATTAGGCTTTACATAATTCAAAATGGGATTATCAAATTGCAAGCCTTGACTGACTACAAACAAAACACATATTTTAAAAAGGGAATTTTTGTTTTGTTAACTGAAAGATCTGTAAAGCTGACATACCTAAGTTCTTGTTTTAAATCAACTGTAAACTCTGTTTATTTACAAGCAGCATTTGACCCTATTACCAGCTCTGTTCATGACTCAGCCATAATCTTCTTTCAACTGAACAGCACTGTCACTTCAACAGTAACTGAACCCTGAACTTATACTTTAATGAAGTCTCTAACATGCCACATTTCTGCCTATTCCTTTGCAGAAATGCCTGCTAATGCATCTTGAGCTCTGGGCAGGTAGTAGTTCAGAGCATTTTTCTACCCATATTATGAAACAGAGTTAGATTCACTACCTGAAGAACTGTTTAAGCATAATTTGGAACTGAATGCAACTCCAATGTAGCTATGGCAATCAACATACAATGCGTTAACTAGGTTAAAACTTAATTTTCAGATTCATGCAGTGGTTTAAGCAGAGCAAGAATCTTCGTAAGTTTAACCATATGACAGGAGTAAAAAGCCAAATTATTCTTTAATAGGAAAGATTGAATTCATCCCCTCTAAGGTTCAAATGAAAACTGCAGTCTTCTTTACTATACACTGTCAGCTTGAAATCCATGCTCTTCCAGGCAGCCAAGCAGTCAGCTTCTCCCTCCCCCACCTTCCCCACCCCCCCCCTTTAGGATCTATGCTCTCCTCTACTGCAGAATCCTTTTATTTAGAGCCTGCCATCTGCTTAAAAAGACAAGTCTGTCTTGCCACCCAGAAGGAATGACATATTTATTTAGAATTCTAATTCACAAATAAGCCATCACACAGTGTTTTTTTCAACAGCACACAGCAGTATTTCCAGATTCATTTTGACTCAGATCTCCTGAACAGAAATAAGCATGCACAACTGCACTGCCACCAACCAGCCAGAAATATGCTTAATTATGTTCCACCCAGTAAATAATTGTTTACAGCTCATGCAAGCCACTACATATTAAATTTATTCAGGCCATTAGGTTCTTGAGAGCAGATGGACAATGTGCTAGAAGGCAAACACCGGATGGCAATTAAATTACTTTTCAGTTCTTTCTCAAAAAGTCTCTGAGCATACCTGGCTTTCAGCTTGATCCAGCATCCTCTGCACAGCTGCCTATAAATGGTGCAAACACAGGACTAGTGAAAACCCTGAGGACACGCAAAACATCTGGTTTCTTTAGTTAAGAACCTAATTTACAATACTCAATGATTATGCATAATAAAAGTTTGATGAGGTTTGTTTTAAAAATGGAAGTTTTACTTTTGCTCTGTAGCAACTGATGTACTAAAGAGCTGTTAAAGGATACATCAGACAAGACCCTCATGCAGATCATTTTCTAATCTAAATGCTTGACAACTTAAAAAGATCAATTTTCTTCTTTTTAAAAACTACTGTTGAACTATGGAATACTTGAATATATCTCCTGCTCTAGTACTCAGTCTGGATAGTTAAGTTCATAATCCTTTAGTTGCACTAAACTTTTAAACTTAGAACATTCTACGTAACACACAGAAAAAACAAATTGCTTGGTGACCATCTGTTAAAGCAAAACATGTAACTGTTGAGAAACTTTAATATCATAAGCTCACTGTATCTAGCCTTCCAGATACAGGAAAACAATGAGAACATTCTTTCCCTTCCTTTTTCTAAGTGGGCTGAGCAAATCAATAGTCACTCTCCAAAACTGGCTAGAAATTAGTTCTGACAAATTATTCTAGCAAGTTCCAAAAAAATGTTTAAACATAAACAACACAAGAAAATACAGTAGCACTGTTATAATTTTGAAGAGAATTAATTAATTTTAGAAAACGTTTTTTTTTAATCAGTAAGTCAGAATTTGAATAAACTGCTGTTTCAAGAGACAGGCCAAATCAATTGAACAACTTTCTGCTGCTGAAATGGGCAGCTCTGCGCCCAGCTGGGTACTCAGTTTCCCTCTGGGCACCTGCCAATGCCCTCACTAAACCAGTAAAATGGTAACCCAGAAAAAACCAAACCAAACCAACAACCAAAGAAGAAAGCAGCTTCCATCTAGTTCGAGGAACCAGATTAGCTCACTGAGGGCTTGGGCAAACCCAGACACAAGGAGAGGGAAGGAACAAAATCCTGCTGCTACCATTGTTCAGCTCTCTTGGAAGTGTATCTCAACCTTAAATAAAGGGCACAACCGTTACTTTCTGTCCCTACTCTGCAAAGGGTCAAATGGACACTTAACACAAGAGGAAGTAAGATAGGAAATACAACAACTGCTGTTCTTTTTCATTCCTCGTGCAAGTGTTACGTAATCAGTGACACGACCGACTATTAAATGCAGGAGACAATACTGTTTGCTCATCTCTCTTCTCCTGCTGTGGCTACCAGACACAGTAGCAAGACACCTCCCAGTGAAATGACAGGAATCTTGCGATTATGGAGAAGCTAAAATGACCGAATCCTAGAAAGCTGCAATCACCCTTTACTGGCGATAGGCCAGTCTTCACGCTGGATTTCTGTACAGGACATCTTATATCCAGGTCATTCTACTTCTAAAACTTAAGAAGAATGTATCGTTAACAAAAATGTTATCAATGACTGGTATCTTCAGTATCATTTTTTTCTCTACCGAAGGAGCTCTGAAAAAAAGATACATCCTGTTGGAGGAGTCAGGTAAAGAAGAGCTGTAATATATCTTTTGATTAAGAACTGTGTTAAGGAACAGCAGCAATGTAATTCCATATTCCATATCCTCACTGGGCTTTTTCTTCAACACTGACTGTGTTCAGCTGTGACATTAAATAAGGATTATCTTTAGTGCACGATGCAAAAAGTGCACATATCAGAACCTGCATTCACAGCGTGCCTTTGTATTTAACTGATGTAAAAAATTACATACTGTGAACAACCAGACGCGTTAATACTAGTTACCCTTCTAGGTACATAGATTCACTAGATCCTCTTTAACAGTGAATAGTAGTTTTAGGACAGAACGGAGAGAAGTAACTAACAAATTTATACGTTTGCCAATTAGAATAAAATCCCTCTTCAGCATGCATAGACTGTTGCATCTGATAATGTAAGAGGATATGTAAACACGTTTATCCTCCCACTGCCAGGAATCACCTCTCTTTCTCTCCTCTCTTGTTGCTTCTGCTGTGCCACTTCTCTCTCTTTTCTTTGCTGCTCTTCCCATTCTTCTTTGATCTTCCTCTTTATGATTAAAAAAATAAAAATAAAAATTATTTAAGGAAACAAATGCTTTATAATCAGTCAAATTCAAAACTATCATATTGTAATACAACTCCTTGAACATTAAGTTTTCATCCAGCCTTAAGCAACTAAATCTCTTGACAGAAACTCTTTTAACAAGTCTTTTTTTTTTCCCCTTTTTAGTTTTGCTTTTCTAGAATGGAAGAAAGAAGGGCTTATGCTTTCAAGCTTACCAACATCAAGAAAACTGGATCCACTACAGAACAGTAAAAGATCTTACACTAAGTCTACCTTATTGCCAGACACAACTGTAAGACTCAGTTTATACATCACCTCTTCTTCTTCTTGACGTTTTCTTGCAGCCTCTTCTTTTTCTTTCTTAAGCTTGAATTCCTCTTGGGCCTTTTCTTCTCTCAGCAACCACTGTTCATGTAGTTTTTGTCTACCAAGGAAACCACATACCATTTCAGACAAAATGTAATGACTACCCACAACTCATGCAACTGTCATGCATACAATCCAAATTTACTAGTTCAGCAATAACTACAGCTTATCTAATCTTCTTTAAGAGAAAATTCCATAGGAATCATTCAGGCTTTAGAGAAAAACTGTTTAGCCTGAAATATATAAAAATAATTCTATTTTACAGACTATATTGAAACTTTCCAAAGTACCAAAATAGAATTGCCTACAAATGTATCTACTGAGTATATGCCATTCCTTTGATTTTTCACCTTTCTGCCTCAAGTTTTTTTTCTTCCTCTTCCTCTTCCTCCTCTTCTTCCAGTTCCTCCTCTTCCTCCTCAGACACCGATTCATCTTTTTCTGTAGCTTCTGAGAAAAAACACAAAACAATGCATCTAAATAACTGGATGTTATAGTCAACAAAGATACACAAAATTATATCCTTTTAAAAAAGAAAAGAAAAAATCACTACTAGTTTCACTGACAGTACAAAACACTTCACAGTTACCTGAATCTCTTAGTTTGGCAAGCGCCTGACGCTTTTTTTTTCGCTTTTCTTTCTTCAGAATAGCTCTGTATTTTTGATGGCTGAAGATGAGAGAATATTATTTATGTCAAAACATCCAAACAAAAGACTTTTACTGTCATACATGCACTCAGTTTATATCAGCAGTCCAAAATCCCATAAATGGCAAAATTAACAGCTATTCATATGAACCAGCAATTCTACAGGGACATCTGACATGACAAGGAAATCAGTAGCTATGCTGTTGGAGCTGCACATGGGCAGCAGCAACGACCACATTTGGACATAACACACGGAATGTCATCCTTCTTGAGCTCTGCAGTACTCGGAATTATCACCCACTCCATGAAATCTCTCTCAGTTCCTGAAACTTGGTCACTAGGTAAGATTAGAGAGAAAAATTTTGGGATCTCCTATCCTATAATTTTGGCATGCCTTTCAGCACATTCTAGCCTTCATCTCTTTTACTAGGTATGAAATGTTAAGTCACATCCCTTTCCTTCTCCTTTAGTATTCTCTACAGGCAACAGACTTAATATATAGATAACAAAAATCACACTTAACCGCCACAGATAATGCTCAGGTCTACTCTTCTGCTACTGAAGCATAGCCAGACTCATCCATGCTCTTCTAACAGCTCTGCAAGGCTGCCTAAAAACAGCACATTGCTTTCATTATGGTTAAAAACCCTCTAAGCATCTGAAAGCCTTTTCACATCAACCCATTTTCTGTCATTTTTTATTCTAGCTGTCTTCTTTCTAGCAGGTTCATAATGGAAAAATAGGAAAGTGGGGTGATCTTCAACTCTTGTCATTCTGCCACGCCAAATACTGACGGAGGATCAAAATCCTCCCATTTCAGAGTATGTGATTTTAAAAGATTCCATAGGTCTAACTCAGAGAGCAAAAACCTCACCCACATCTCTAACCAGAGGCTTCCGTGCAGGGTTACTCACGGCCTCGCCAGCCGTGCATGCCATCAGTAACTCCACGGTGGTGATCCCCGCGGCTGAGCGCCTGCCCTCAAAGGCCAGTGTCTGGCTGCGTGCGATGGCCACACCTGAGCCGGCTACCTTCCCTCAGGCAAGCCTAGCGACTCCTCCTGTAACGCCACCCGCCTGGAACCAGTCTCCTCCGCTCAGCAGGTGCCCGAGGCAGGCAAGCGAGGATACCTCCTTCCCCGCTGCCGGCCTCCGCGAGGTGCTCCTGAAGCCCCAAGGAAGGGAGAGAGAGAGCAGCGAGGGGAGCTCAGCAGGGCCGCAGCAGCACAGGAGGAGGCGGGCAAGCGGTCGAGGCGCACGGAGCGGCGGCGCCGCCGCTGCCGGAGGGCTGGGGCTCGGCCCGGCCCGGCTCCCGGCCCCCAGCCCTGGCGAGCGAGGCCGCCCCAGCAGGCGCGGAGCGGGGGTGTCTGCGAACTCCCGGAGGCAGCCTGGACCGGCGGCCCCGTCACGGGCGGTGGGGCTGGCGGGGGCGCAGCCCGGGAACGCACATGCCGGTTCCCCCCACCCCACCCCGACGCTCCCTCCCACCCCCAGCGCCACGCCGCGCGCCCAACCGCCGCCCCTCGCGAGCGCCGGTTACCCCCCCTCTCCTCCTCCTCCTCCTCCTCCCCCTCCCCCGCACGCGCGGCGGCGGCCGGTCGGCCATGGCCGTCGCCGCCGCACGTAGTAGCTGCGCCACTCCCAGGCCCGGCCGCGAGGCGGCCTCAGCCGCGGCCGCTGTATGCGGCCGGGCGGCCTCGGCCAGGGCTGGGCCGTGACTCTCCTCGGGGACCCCCCCGGCCCTTCCCCTCCCCCCTGGAAGCGGCGGAGGGGCCCGGCAGTGGCACCGGCCTCGGCCTCACCTCAGCTTCCCCAGAGGGGACTCGGGCAGCAACATGGGCGCCGCCATCTTGCGTTACCAAGGGGATGTCACGTGACCCCGCGGCGGAAGGGCGCAAAATCCCTTCCGGCCGCCTGAGCGGGGCGCGGTGAGGGGGCGGTGCCAGCGCGTGCTTGGCAGCCGCTGGGGTTCCGGCCCCCAGAGGCGGGCGGGGCCGTTACCGGTCTGGGGGCGGCGGGGGCTGAGGGGCGGGCTGGCGGGCACGGGGGCTGGCGGCCGCGGATTTCCAGCCGGTTTTCAGCCGTTTTTCAGCCGGTTGTGGTAGCCGTCTGAAGGCAACAGCCTCAACCAGCCGGGAAGGGAGTGCGGGGGGGAAGGAGAAGCAGCTCAGAGCGATTACTTACCACGGACTAGTACAGCTGCTTTCGGCGTGCACTGTCAGAGCTGCCCCTGCAAAAGTCAGAAAACAAGAGCAGACCTATTTTCACATCTTGCGTTATTCCTTCTGTCGAAAGCACTTAGGGGTTCAGTGAATGCATGGAGAAGTAGCGCTTGAAATTCCAGTTTACTAAACTGTTCAAAGGCCAGAAAAGATTCAGTCCCCTGAGGCTTTCACTGTGGTTATCTGTAATTTTCCCAGCCTTGTTTGAGTAAAGCAGTGCGTGTGGTGCACGGTGCAGCAGCTAGCCTGGGTTTCTTACGCAGGTCGCAGTGTCGGTGCTGTGTGGACGCTCCCAGGCTGCAGTAACTTGCAGCTGACAGTTTGTGCTCTGCAAGTTGTGTCGGTTACTTTGTGAAATACGTGTGGAAGCAGGAGGTGTGCGATGCCTGCTACAAGTTGAGCTTCTAGTGTGATTTGGCTGCTATGAAGGTGTGATGGATGGCTGCTGTGGGCTGCAGCCTCTCGGAGTTGAGAGAAGTCACAGCTCCAGTGTGGCAGGGGCACACCAGACTGGTATTTTGATGAATTTAACTGACACTGATGATATATTTTCACTACCATCTCTGAGGCATAATACTTGTCTTGATTATAAACGTATTTCATGGCAGAAAATGAGTTAAAATGCACAGACTGTCATGGATACGGTGGGTTGAAATATGTACGTTGTCAGTAATGAGTTCCTCAGTGACGTGCATTGTAGATTGCAGCCTTCAGAGTCAATGAATTCATATGTTTTATTTGGGCATGTTTTGCATAGCTATTAATAACATACATTGTTGATTAAGATCTAAGTTATTGTCATAAACCACAACGTGGGGAGCTTACTTCATATATCCTAGAGGTAGTATATCGCGTAAGTAGTTTGAGCTGCTGGCAGCAAAGCATACCAGAGTAGGCTTTGTCAAAATCCGACTCATTGTGCTGTTTCTTAACAGCATAATTAGCGTCCTCTTATTTATTTTGAAGTTCAGTGAAGTTATTCAAAGCAAGCATGTGACTGCTGTAGTCAGCAGATACATTTGCTATTTGACCAATGAATATTCAGACCATGACTTCACTGCTATTACATAACCATGTTTCAGATTCTAGATTGCCCTTTAAAATGGAGGAGTTGACATCACTATTGCTTTTACTGTTTGTGCAGAACATACATGTAAAATAGCACGTAAATTGCTGCTGCTTAGATACAGAAGATGGCAGTATTGTGCATTTTACAACTGATGAATCATTGACACCCATGAAAGTCTTGAAAAAACGGAACCAAATGTGTTTCATAAATCTTATTTCATTGAGGAGTTACAACTATAACTTTCATCATCCTTTCAGCAGAGTAAGTGCTGTAACAATAACCTTCCTTTAAACTTTCTATAAGTCAAAATTGAGAAATTCAATCATTTTTTTCATTAGTATGTTACTTTTCGTTACGGCATTTTCCCAATACACTTGGGTAAAGAACCATCTTAAGCTTATACATTTCAGTAGTGAAAGGGAGGATCTCTTTGTAAGAAAACACAAAATACATCAGCTATTACGGATATTCATAATTATTCTGGAAGAAGCAATCGTGCCTGTTTGAAAGAAATAATTGCACTTTTCTCGATTTTGTTTATTCTTATTTATACACATAACAGCAGCTTGATACTCGAGTACAGGTGCAGAATTACATACAATTTCATAGATACAGTGTCAGAAAGAAACAAATACAGCCATTCCAGGCAAGAGCCGTTCACATACCCAAAGTAATGTAGCATTCTGGTCAGTATCTGTTAGCCCTTACACTGGGATTATAGACCACAGGCCTTTTCAAGCACAATTTATTTTTGTGGAAACCTTCAAAAAGTTTGTGGAACTCACTCTTCAAAGTTTCCTGAAGAAAAATACACCAGCACTGTATGGTGCTATGTGAGCCCTATCATGAGAACGTCAATACTGGGTGCACTGATTATACTTCACATGATAGCACAGAACAGAGAAACTTTTACCCTGCCACTTGAAGTTACGTACCATATTGCATTGTAAATCTCTGCATGTCTCTTAAGATCTATGCACAGAACCACGCATGTGCAGCAGGCCTCTCTGAGCAAGAGTACGGGTACTCGGTTTGGCACACATTTGCACTTTGTTTCCACGTGGTTCTTCTAGTTTCCATTTCGTATTTCCTACCATTGTGGACTGACATCAGTAGATAGGAAGTGTTCGCTCTCTTGGTTGTATGCCCAAGCCCCATGTGGGGGAACAAAAAAAACCCAGAAGATACATTTTGTAAGCAAGCAGATTATTTAAAAGTTGTCCTTATTGTAATTTCTGCCATACGCTCCAGTACAAGAGTGGTACCTTTCCTCATGGAATTGTACAGCTTTATTTTCCTGCCTGAAGGAAATGGACATAAGAGAATGTGTGGGATATGGCAGTGAATCGCTAGCATGGATCTGGTCCACTCAGAAATTATATGTTGACCAGGAGGCGTTTAGGAAGCGTGGGTGTGACACGGGAAGGGGTCAGTTTTCATTGATGTTTCAGGGCTGTAGATTGCGCTATAAACTTCATAGCGAAGTGGCGGCAGCAGCACCATCCTTCACCTTCCTCTGTGCGCTGGGAGTTTCTCTTTGTTCATTTGCAGTGCTAGCTCTGTTGTGGGCAGCCCTGGGTGCTTTCTGTCGCAAAGTGTGCATTTCAAGGCAGCGTGTGCGAACTTGAGGAAGCGCATCCTTCCCCCACATGCTGCCAAGTGGCTACACTGCTGCCTCCAGGGGTAAAACATTTCTCACATGCTGTCTACTTCTGTGAGCACTGATAAAAACGCTGTGGCAATGTAAGTCACTTTTGCATTATTACAATGATGGCAGCGGTGGCAGTTCTCATTCAACACTCTGTTCCACCAAAAGTTACTGGAAAAATTCCCATTTAATGAGACTTAAGCTGGACCTGTATCAGCCAGCCTGGTCTATAGGGTGATACTGACATTGGCTTAGATCCTAATCTCACCAAGTCTGCAGGAGATGTGCAGTGTTCATCGTTTCCACTGCCCCCAGGGAACTGCAAAGTGTGGTGTACAATTAGATCTGCAGTTCTCCAGGTACATTTCCATGAGTGACTAATGCTGACAGTAGCACATTGACTCTTTGCTCATAAGAGTTGAACAGAACTATTTAAGACTAAAGATTAACTTACTCAGAGTTTAAAACTGTTAATTTGTCAAATTTGAAAACTGAGGTTAAGTTTGGCCATAGCTGTTAATTAACTTATATGATAGCTATCAATATTTTACTTTCCTGGGATTTTCCATTTCAAAGACATTGAAAGGAGCGGAAGAGTTCATTGCTAATCACACTGAGAAGATGGAAGGGTTTTGTTTGCTTTACCAAGTCATATGCTTTCTTGAAATTTCAGTCCTCTTGCTTTGTTTGGAAGTCCAAATTATGGTATACTGTTAAGTATATACATACAGATAATACATGAATTTCTGGAGGTCACAAGCACTGAAAAAAAATAGAGGAAAAATTATAGAGATACTGTCATTTTCAACTGGGGAGACAAATCCATTTAGTACAAGAAAATAAATAGTTCTTTGCACTAGTTCAATGATACTTCTCGGGTGCAGATCATGCGTGAGATTTTGCATGGCTATGACCTGTAGTTCAATAGCTGTTAGGAAGAAGTTATTGTGAAAGAGGAACTATTTAAAAATTTAATACCTCACGAACTACTGAATTAAAAACATACCTCACATATGTACATGTAGATTGTAATTTGTTCAAGCAAATTGATGTGTGAGTGATTAATCAGTGGCAAACAAATGCAGACATGCTTAAACAGTGCTACATACCTGGCCAAACCGGGAGAAAAGAGGCTGGGCAGAATGTTTTCCACACGTGTAGATTTATTACAGAGATATGAAGTTCCAGAATGCCTGTCTTTTTAGATTGTGCTGATATACTCCATTTGTAACCTGAAAAGTTACAGTATTTTTTAAGATGGTGTTTAAAAATGTCACTGCTTTGAAGAAAAGAGCTTTCTACTAACGCCTGGTCTAGGCTTGTGTGTCTACCCGGCTCATTTAAAAAACATGCTGGCTTTGGAAGAAGATTTATAGATGTGCAGCAATCGGTTGCTTATGTGCAGAGCCCTGTGCATATACAACCGGATAAACACACGGGCAGTCAGCTGGATGCCTTTGGCACGCATCCAAGTTGCCATGCACGTATATATCAACTGCACGATGCTCTCCCTGTGAGCTCTGAGCTGGGGTGTTTATCACACTGCTTCTTCTCCTGGCCTCCTCCCCTCTTCGCTGGAAAAAATAATTTGTCTTGCTGCTTGCCAGCAAGACAAATTGGGGAAAATCAGCCATCCTGGCTGGAAGTCAGCAGCCCTGATCAGGGAACCCAGTCATGTCCTCTGAGGTTGTTCCTGCTGGGCGTCGTGTGCCTTTGATGTACTTTGACACTGGCTCCATGTGATTCTGAGGGAAAGAACTGATTTACAGGGGTTTACAGCAGGCAGAAGTGGTGATGCCACGTATCGATGCTTAGTTCCATTTGCCTTCTGGCAGCAGGGAAACAACACTTGGCTTTTCCACTCTCTTCCTAAATTCTCCAGTATTTTCCCCAAAGGAACAAAAAAGTTAAAATGTTTGTTACTGAAGCAACACACACGAATTTAGCATTAAACTGATTACATTCACGTTCTTTTAAGATTTTTTTAAATTACAAGTTTTACAGAGAATTGATAGTCTTTCCTACATCTGTACACTTTTTAGTGTTCTCTTTTTAATGCATGTACATAGAGCATGTTAATTTAAGGTGTCATTACAAATGAATATATCACTTTTTTGTTTTCATAGGTGAAGATTGAACATCTAAGCAGATAACATATCCAATAGTTTTGTACTCAGAACTGGTTGCCTAGTGAGAGTAAACAGATGCCCAGGAATTAGCTTGATTTAATGACTTTTAAAGATGGGATATCAAGCCCTTTAACAGTGGCTTCTAAAAATAAGATTAAATTAATGAAGCAGTAAGGTCTCTGTTACCTGAAAGTCCAAGTATTCTCAGGTAGTAAATACTGGTTATTGTTTTCCATAAATTGAGTCCCACAGTAGAGTAAAATTTTCTCACTGGTAATCATTTTTGTGAAGGTCTTTGGGTTTGCAGCCTCAAGACACACTTCTCAGTGCTAAAGGACCAACTGAAAGTCATCGTGAGGCGATATTCAATTTATGAACTAACCATTAATCGGAGTGGCTACAGGGGAATTACAGCAGCAGAGTGGAATAAAATAATCCTGGTTTGCTGCCCAGATTGCAAAGACTGTTCAAGTACTTGTAATACATTCCAGTTCCTGATTTCTTTCTCCTCTGCATTTATTTATTTATCTTGGTAAATATTTGACTAATAGAGTGCATCATTAAAATATTTCCATATGTGTATGCATATATGTATACCCAGTGTGTCATGTCTACAAAACGAGAGTATGTCCTTATTCAGCGTGCTTCCTATGAAGTCCTTTTATTGCAGCTCTTCTTATTCCAGTTGCTACCGTAACGATCCTCCAACAGCAAGAAAGTCTTTCACCACCTTTAAAACTGTTCTTTTCCTGCAAAGCAATGCCTCGGATGTGGGGATTTTTGTGTGGAATGAGGTGTTGGCTCTACAGGGCTCAGACAAGCTCCTGAGACAGGATGCGGGAGATACTGGGTTGGGGAAGGGGGGGGATGACACACACATGGTACTGGGGCCACCAGACCGGCCCTTCAGAAGTGCCGTGAGTTTGAAGGCAAATGAGGAGCAAATCTGGAGCCCTGTTTTTTGAGGCCAGGGCTTATATGTTCGTCACATATTTCTTCTGGAGGGATGAAAAGAGTGCCCAGTCTGCCTTTATCCTCAGGGGCCCTCTGTGGGGCCAGCCAGTTTCCCAGAAGCCCAGCTGCCGGCTGCTCTGGTGCAACGTCCCTCAGGCATTTTGTGTGCCTGTCTGACATCCCATCTTCGGGGAAAAAAGGTTGGCCTGGAGCACTGTGTGAAGTTTTGTATTACTCTAAAAAGGAAGAAGGAAAATTGAAAACTTATGGTTTTTTTTTGTTGTTTTTTTTTTTTTTTTTTTTTACTACAGTGGAAGGGAGTAAATAACTAACAGAAGACAGTTGTTTCTAGTGCCTGTTTTAGCTAAAATAACGGGGGTTAATGATTAAACCTTTCACTTGGTTGCTCACTTGTGCTGCTGATGCTTTAATCCTGGGTCACAGAAAGTTTAAGAGTGCTTTGCAGGGGAGACTCACTTCTTTTTGCCTCAACCTTTCCACACTGACGGGATGTTACGGGTTTTGCTGCTTACTCTCTCTGTAGTTGCCGTTGCTTATGCTGAGCTCTGCAAGCCAGGTATGTTTTGGAGCTGATTCCCATCCTTCCCCAGGTAAATGTAGCTATGAGTTTAGGCCTACAAAGCTGCCAGCTTTCCAGATTTTTATTTTAACTGGTTGTCTCCAGTTTGAAGATTGAAATACTAAGCATTCGCTTTTATGAGTTTGTAAATTATGTATGGAAGTTAATCTCACTTAAAGAGGCCATGGTAAACCTCACTGAGACTCTCTAGGGCTGCGGCTTTTTTCATGCTAGTAACTTCTGTTCTCTTAACCAGGTGATCTGTTAAGACACATTTAGAAGCTGTCGTCTGTGAAATATTTAGAGAAGTAAATGATTAAAAATGCTATTTTGGCTGACTATCAATACATGTTTTCTTTTTTTTTCTCTTTGTGCCAGATGCACAGAATGCTTTCAAAGTACGGCTTAGTATCAAAACAGCTTTGGGAGATAATGCAGTAAGTAAAGTATCTGTCTTCACATATTCTTCCTAACTAAATATCTACCAAAAGAGAAGTAATAAATACTGTAAAATTTCAGAAGGCAGCAGAAGCAATTTGTTCTGAAGTGTTAATTGTAATAGCTTGCTCAAGTCATGATCCAGGCATCCATTTCTTGACATTTGAATGGCCTGCTGCTTGAAATGGCATCCTTTAAGAAAAGTATAAAGCTTGCCTTTTCATAAAGATAATTTTCTGTCAAAGATTTTTTTTTTCCTGGAAAAAAAGTAGAGATGTTGCACTTTATGCATGAGAGGTGCTACATAAATCTAAGCCTGTATTTTGGGAAAAGCACTTCTGCTTGAGAGTGCTAATTGTAGAGTCAAGCATGTCTGGGAAGAGGAGGAAAATATTGTTAGGTGCTTATGAAATGGGACTTTATGTCAGGCTCTCAGACAAGCATGATCTGTAGAGATCATTCAAGCATATCTCATCAGTCCCCTACTAATGTAGAGCTTTGGATAGTGGCCTTTCTTCTCTGCCTGTGGTACACAGGCTAGTCTCATGAGGACTGAAATGCTTTGGCTTAATTCAAGTCCTTGGTCTTAATGAGAAAGTACTGGTGTGAGTAAAAAGGGTCTGTGATACGTAAAAGATTGGGACATTTGATGACCAAATCGTCCTTCCTGATCTAAGGTGCTATGAAATACGGCAGAGCCCAGTACTTCATTTGCAGTTTTGAATGCTTAGGGCAAATCTACAGTGCGTTACAGGGCTTAGCATAAGATTAGATATGAAATGTCTTAGACTGTCATCTCCACTGTAATTCTGGTGTCTGATTATGTTAGGAGCCTTGGGAAACAGAAGGCAGTAAGTTACATGTTATAAGAGACTGGAGATATGAGAATTTCCCTATGACCGTAGAAGCCATTCTAAAATTACCGTGAAATATCAGGTAATTTAAACTAACATTTTCAGGGACCTAATTCCACTGGTAACTTCATAAACCAGACAAATTGGGAAGAAATATTCAAGATATGTGCTAAAGTATTTGTCTGTGGAAATTCATATTGAAGTAAATTCTCTTGGGTTAGACTTCAATTAAACAGTAGTGCGAGCCTGGTTTGTTTAAAAATTCATTTAAAATAGTGTAATCCTATGGCTGAAAATATGTCAAAGTCATTATTGAAGCTGCTCTTGATGATAACTGCTAATATTTTGATTTAATCTTGGTCCAAAATAGTAGCAAAGAATGAAAAGTGCAGTTCCCAGTAATGCTCTTAGTGCTATTTGCTTCTCCAACTATAGTAAAATAAGGGGATTTTGTCTGATCATTTTGATTTTTGTATTTTTCATCTAAAAAGGGTATGATACAAATCATTAATCTTAGAGGCGCTTTATATTACAAGAAAAAAGTACTAACTGAGGAATCTAGTGTTTTTTGTAGATAGATAGTAGTTTATTTCATATAACAAAGTGTGTGAAAGCCCTAAGAATGGGACAGTCTAGAACAGCGTTTTAGGACAACAACATGCTGGAAGTGGTATGATGCCATACAAAGTTACCCACAAATAATGAAAAATTTATTAAGTGCACAGGTAGTAGTTCCTTTTCATATCTATTACAGTCTTCTCAGCAAATGACTGAAATTGAAAACTGAAACTACTATCAAACTGAAATTTATTTTGGTTGAAGAATTTGGGACACTTTACTTTTGTATTTATTTATTTTAGCAAAGAAAAGCATAATGCTGTCATTGTATCACAGTAGGACACAACCAGCTTAGAATATCTTGGTATGACGCTCTGCTACTGAATTCCATTTCACTCATTTCTAAGTCACTTCAAGCTAGATAACAGAAACCCCTGATACTGTGGGCATTTTGCTCTAGAACTGGCTGGGTAACTCCAATGTACATTTAGGGGCATAGGATATAGGTTAGTGTAGTTTTCCACATGGTTTAGTGCATGCCGTCCACTTTGTGTGAGGCCGATAAAGACAGGACAGCATTTTTTTAATTTGTTCACAAGATAGGCTGTGCTTTGAGGCAGGGAGTTCCATTTAGTGTATTTATATAGTTCTTATCACAATGGAGCTGGAAAGAGCAGCTAAGATACAGTAAGTATTTACCTGTTATCATTTGATTTGCAAATAATGGGTGTACTTGACAGAGACATTGTTTGCTAATGGGTGGGAGGAAACATGGTGTCTGTAAGCATAAATGAAAGGAAGGTGATTTATGAGTCTGAGGATGGTGGCTTCTGGAATAGCTGCTAGTCACTAGTTGGAGTTAGCAAAGTGGTAGAGAGTTAATTCATAAGGGTCAGGGACAACTAGGGAGTGAGCAGAAGTGATGTGCAGTCTATGTAACTGTGTCACCACTCAGTTCAACTGTAAGAGTCAAAGAGCTGGCAGCTCAGGGGCTGCAGCCAGGTGAAGCAGAAGATACACTTTCCTTCTGGCTCATGTACTCAGGCTGTTTCCAGGGTATAGGGTGAAAGTGAGAAAGACTGACGTGCACCTCGTATTTTGCCACCAAATGGGACCCAGAAGTGGGTTTATGTGCCTGTAGCCACACTGCAGTCCGAATGGCTGTCTAGTTAAAACACAGAACCATTCAGGAGGGAAGGGACCTTGGAAGGTCCCTAGCCCCCTGCTGCTCAAAGACAGGTCAACACTGAAATTAGATCAGGTTGCTCTGGGCAAACCTGTAATATTATAATCTCATTCTACTAGCTTGAATTTTGTCTTTCTTGGAGCACTATTATAGCATTTCACCCCAGCAACAACTTACGCTCATCATCTTTTACCCATTATCAACCTCTTTCACTAGCAGGAATTTACTTAAGACTGGCTTTCGCAGTCAGCTGTGTCTAATTCTGCTCCTCCTTAACATAAAGGATGCCAGGTCCAACTGAGCTAAAGTCTTTGTTCCTCTGTAGAGCAAAGATGGTAAACATTAATAGTTCTGATACCATCATGTAAGTTTTCACGAGTTACCTTAGGTTTATGGTGTGTGGTTGCAAATGATCTTCAATACATTTCCTCTATATCAGCACAAAATGTGTATCAATAGCTGCACTTCATGGGAATGTAACAACAGAAGCAACATCCTCAGTCATCAGCTGCAGTCTGGGCCTTTGCAATTGGAGGATGAGGATGACACTGATAAAGCCCCATAGCAGAATGATTCAGGTTTCTTTGAGCCTGTTCCTCTGACTGGAGAAAGCTGATGATTAGAAATTGGCTTCTGGCAATTTGTGCCCACTTGTCCTGAGTTCATTCAGTTTATTAGCTTAAAGGTATTCTTGCCATAGTTTTCCTCCTCGTTATGTTGCCCTCCCGCATATTCCTGCATGCAGTTGTGTACAGAGGTTCTTGTTCCTATAGAGCCCACAGTCATCTCCATCTCTTCTACCTCCTGTCTGATCAGTGTTTTCTTGGGGCTTCTTGCCCTTCTGCCCAGAAGGCTGTCTGCAGCATCTTCTCACTCAAGCAGACCCCTGATTTCTGCTGAGCTTTCTCTGCTGGTCTCCTCCTCCATTTCTTGCAGCTTTTTGTTTATTCTGTCTGTTTTAAAGTGCTTACTCTTTCAGCTGGGGCTGGAGTTCGTCACTATGAATTATATTGCCTATTTTGAGATACCCTTTTTGTTACTCTGACTTACAGAAGTTCTAGGCTACTGCACTATTTATGAAAACTGAATACTGGATAGTGATGAACTGTACGCATATACAGGTACTGCACTAAACATATCAAGTACCTATAGTTGGTAATGCTGCATTGCATTTGTGTCCACGTAAGCATGAAATGAAGTGTGCTTCATTATTATCTGTTTTCAAGACAGCTGATTAAATTAGCTCTGCAGCTGGTTTAATCCACTGGATAACAAACGATTTTTTTTCTGTCCTTTTGGACCTGTTCTCAAAGACTGCAGATGGCATGTAGGGATTCAGTCAATAGTACCACACACAGGAAAAGGAAGATTTTCCCTTTTAGTGCTGCAAATTGTGCAAATTGTTTAAATACAGATGTCTTTAAAATTACAATAAATAGTTTTATGGCTCTCATCTATATTAATTCCTCTACTATATTACCTTTTTTAGTACTAGTCACTGTCATTGCTGTCACGTTTTCATCAGTGCAGTGGGATCAAAATACAGGCTTTTATAGTTTCTTTTGAAAGAGTCCCTTTTGTTTTGCCTTTTTTTTTTTTTTTTTTTTTTTTTTCTAGTTTAAGTTCCCAGACTGGCATGCATTATCACAGTATGCTTACACTTCTCTTCATTCACAAGGCAAGTGGTGAGTCAGAACATAGATTCTCAGCACTGCATCTGGATTTTAACGCTACTCAAGTTGTCTGTTGCTCAGCTTTGTTGCCCATGTCCTACAGCATCTCGGAGAGCCCATTTCACAACTCATCATTTGTCTGGGAATGATAAATATGATGAGTGTGACTTTCTGCCCTGCTTAGGTTCTCGGTCCGCATGATGTCAGAGCAAAATGAGAGCTGATGCCTGGAAGTTGGATTCTTTCTGTGGAGAGATTGCAGTTCCATGCAGCCAAAATCAGAATTTAAAAACCAGAATAAAGATTTGACATTTTCAATGCTGTTTACTGTTTTTTGATGTACATTGCTGGTTTTTGAATGTGTTATAAAGGCCCATGAAAATGTAGGTCCAAGTTGTCGACAGGGTTAGGTATCCACACCATTGGGTTTCTGGTTTGGATAACTGCAGATTTTTTTAACGCTGGAAGTTAAAGATTAGATTTGTGTTCTGATTGACTGAAGAAAGCTGCCTCTAACCTCCGTTAATATAATTCCAAGAAACTATTAATCTTTGTAATCTGCTGAAAGGTGAAATTCAATCAGTATGCCTCAGTCATGCCTCTTGTTATTAAAATATAATAGATGCAGTTCTTACAGGTCATTAGAATTGCATATGTGAATGAAAGCCCAGGGGAACCTAGTGAAGCTATCTCAGAAAACCAAAATTATGGAAGAATGGTTTTTCAAGACCACAGAGAAGAGTTTTTTGAGCCTTTATAATACTTTTTATTGAAGTAGTAAGGATGCTATTTTCTTTCTTTTGTCTCATGTGCGACGTAGTAATTTGTACTGTAGTTGAGTCTGTCTTCTTGTTGCAAGGATGATGTGCAGCAATAAGGCCATAATCTCATTTTATTTCCTGGCATCCTGACATGCAACTCCCAGAGACTACCTCCAACATTAGATTTTTTTTTTTACTTTTGGACAGAGTTAAATGGCCTTTGAGAGTAGATTTAAACTTTCTACTTTAACAGGGTTTATCCAGCAAAAGAGGCAAGGCCATGGGTGCAGCTGTGTGGGGAGAATTCTAGTAATATGCCTGGTCTTTGGTACAAGAAACTTTACATTTCCAGTTTGGTCAGCTTTTGGAAACATTTTTTGCACTTTATATTGCACTTTATAACAGCCATTAGAAAAAGTCCTTTGTGCACACAAAATAATGGGCAGGAATTTATTTTCATAGGCCAACCAGAGAATTTATTAATTTTCTTGATCAATATAGTATTTAAAGTTCAGTGACTCTTTTCCATCTCTTTAATGCCAGCACTAGTGCTGAAACTGATTATTTTCCACCTTCCTTTACAGTATGCCTGGGATGCTAACGAGGAGTACCTCTTCAAAGCAATGGTGGCTTTTGCAATGAGAAGATATTCCAGCAAAAGCACAACTCAGTAAGCATCCACTCTCATTTGCCTTATACATATTAACAGTGCTGAATGTAGTGTTCCATTCTCTGCTGTACTGAGCTTTAGAAACCATTATACACAGCTTCTGAAAACAGACCATTCCAGTATATTTCTCTGACACCCAGATACATGTTAAACATCAAACTCTCTCTGTCTTAAGCAATGTTCAATCTTTGGACCAGTATCCCTGTTGATGTGAAGTGACACAGCTGTGGAACTCAGTTGTGCCAATTCACTCTAGCAGAATCTGGCAGTAAGACGTAATACCTTCTGGAGGCCATACTGAGGGGAGGCGAAGGGACACACTGGCAAGGTCAATAAATGCACTACAGATCCTTGAATAAACAGCTTTGTTGCACATTTTCTTAGAGCACAGCTTGAGCAGTATGCTGAAGATGACCTGACTCAGAGAACTGGAAGGTAGGTAGCTATGCTAGTGCTGTGTTCTGCTGGGGGTACCTATCCCTAATATTGGAGCGGTTGAGTTACCTAGCATCAGGAAGTTTCAGATGTTGCAGTTCAGACATAAATCAGCCTTTAATTGGTTCGGGGATTAAATCTACACTGAGGTATTGTATATTCTTCTCAGGTTTCTGATCCTTGCTACTAATGAAATTAGATACCAGATTAGACAGACCATTTAGCAAACTGTATTTTCAGTGTGTTCTTATTTTTCCTAAATGAGAAACCTTGTGTGTTTGTATAGGCCTATTATTTTTCCATTGCTTTTCAATCTTAAAGGAAAGATTTATAGTTCTGGTAGGCTAATGAGGATAAGGTTCTCAATTTACTTAAAAAACCAAAACAAAACAAAACAAACCTGCTTCAGGCTGTTATTGCAGTAAATGAAACATATTCCACATTTGCAAAGGTATTGGTTAACTTTAGTCACCTGATGATTGTGGTGGCTGCTGCACTTTGTCTTAAATAGAAGGTAACTTCCCCTTTTATGTAATAGGAGTGCTTGGTTCCTTGCTGTTTCATTTTTATTCATCAGAAGTTGTCTCCTTTGAGCAAGAGAGCCATTACACCAAGCTTAACAAAAATAGCCAAGTATGCTACTGCACCCAATTAAAATGACACTGAAAAAAATGAGTTCAAGATACAAGCTAATTAAAAGTGATTATGCAGGGCTTTTTCTCATGTTTTCAAATTAACAGAGTTTTCATGCAGTATCTGATCCATAAAGATTTGCTTTTGTATACTTATTTTAGTCCCAGGTCCTTTTTTTAAAAATCATTGTCTTCATTCAAAGTCATTGGTGCTTTCACGAAGCAAAAAATCCTGTGTCAAAAGCCAGTGATGATCTTCCTCTTCAAGCACCGTGGCTCTCTACAGACTCAAGTAATAGTAGAAAACTTGGTGCAGGAATGGGAAAAAATCAAGCCAGTATGAAAGGAGTTAAGATTTTAATGGAAGTTATCTCTAACCACTCTGGGAAATCACAGAATTTATGCTCACTTTATTCAGTTTCCTACCAAGACAGTTCTTCCTATGGATGAATATGATAATGTCAGTGTTACTCCAGTTTGGAGATGCACACATCAATAATTTCCTGCCACTATGGTTGTCAGAGGAGAAGTCAGGATAGTATTGGGAAATAGCTAGGTGTGGGCATCTTTACTTATTTTTACGATGGTGTAGGACTTCTTCATGGGGTATAACTTGTTGGGGTGTACCTTGGAGGTATAACTGATAACTCTTCTAGGACTTCTAGATACCTTTGAGGTCATGTGTAGTCAGCATGTTAACCGAAGGATGGCTGTGCAGCTCTGAGACCTGGTGCAACTTACTAGTCAACAGGCCGAGAAGTTTCCTATCCATAGATCTCTCTCAAATCCCAAGGGACCTCAGAGTCAGTGTTCAGTGATGGAGAGCTAGATGAAGCTCCCAATACACCCCAAATAACCTGCCTGCTGTATGGGAGAAGGAAAGCTATGAAAGCCTCCTCCATCCTATTAGAAGTCCTGGAAATAATGCACTTTTACATGGCTGGAAAGGATAGTGGCAGGGGCTTGCAGTTTGGTGAAGAGGGAGGCAGCAGGAAGAGGAACTTGTGGCAAATAAGTTACATTACACTATAGGAGCTTTTACAAATAAATGTCAACAGGTTTTCTTCAGGAGCTACAAAAGATCAATGATCAATTATCCTGTCATAAAAGAAAAATCAAACAGTGACTGCATTCTGGTAGCATCTAAATTTACCCAAAGTTTGCATGTGGTTAATTAAAGATTTTTGTTAAAATAAAGACTTCTGAAAAATTTACCAGTGTTTTGCATAACCAAATAGTGGTTCTGCCAGGGTATAAATTCTGCACAGGGTCATAATCGGGATGTGACAAACCTCTCCTTTACCATCCCATTAATTTCTAACACACCCACATCCCAGCAGTAACTCACAGCCACAACTAGCTCCCACATGAGACCAAATGCCATTAACTTCAGCACACTGGATCAGGCCCTGAAATAATTTATCTGGTGGATCAGCATAACCATTGTTGCAGTTTGTCCCACCATTTTTGAGATTCAGAGTCACCTTTTGTTAGGCTTCTGAAGCTGGATAGAAGCCAACTTGTAATGACAAGCATTTGAGTGGGGTGCTGGACACGGCAGTTGATGCTGTTGTTGCTCTTGTGTAACCACTGAGTGACCGAATGCAGAATGGACAGGATTGCATATTGGGATTACATCTTGGGTTCTCTAAAGTTAATTTCTAAACTAAAATTTAATAAATCATGGAGCTGTGTTTAATGTTTGAAAGGTTTGTCAAATTTTCCAGTTTGTGTGAAACAGAAGAAAGACAGAATCCATCAAATTACTCAGTATTATTAATACAGGTAAAAGAATTACTTCTTTTTCAGTGGAGAAATAAAACCCCTTTATTTTCTGTTCTATATATGGCTTTTCAATTAATTCTCAATGCATACATTCATGAACTATGTAAGCCAACCTTTGATCTCTCAAATGATTGTCTGTAATCTGTGTTAGTAGCCCTGGTTTCTCTAATCTGTGACTAATTTGAAATAATATGCATCTCTTTTGGGCCTGAGACTAGTTAACCTTTAGAGCAGAAAGAATGTCATCACATTTACTTTAATTCAAGTAGCAGAATCTACTTTTGGTATATCTTCCCCCCATTTATAGATTTAAAAAGCTGCAGTTTTCTCCATGAAGTGACTAGAAAAAATTTCATCGTCATGATCCATCTTCCTAAGACAGGCTACTTTGAAACTAAAAATATTGTGACTATTTAGAACAACAAAATAAGCTTCTAGAGTTGAGGCTGTTACATCAAGGTGATCCTATGGCTGCAGTTCACAAAAAGGAAGAAAATAACGGTCCTTTGCAGGAGCAGCTGCCCAGCACTTGGTTGGAAGAGGCCTGATGCTCTCAGGAGAGATGGAGATAGGCACTTAGGGCTTGGGCACTGTAGGCACCTAGCTCCCTTTGAGTCTCTGGCAGCTCTTTCTTAGCCCTAAACATTAGGCTATAAATCTCCGTAAGGAACAGTGGCGATGTTTCAGGCCAAGGAACTGTCAGGCTTTCCTGCACTCCACTTGCTGTTCACTTGCGTATATTAAAGGAAATGTAATTTTGGACTTTTGCCATGGTGCCATAAGGCAGAACCAGAATCTTGTCAATTTCATGACAACAATCTCCTATAACCTCCATGACAAAAGTCTCTCACCTGCTAAGGAAATAAAAAAATGCCCACGTATATGTTTACAAATACACTTAATTCGCATAGTGTGTGGAGAAGTCAGGTTTCTCATTTCTAAATGGTATAAAGGCATAGTTTTGTAATGCTTCTGCATGCTGTGAATCAAACCTGTGCGGGGAAAAAAAAAAGGCATACCTGCTGCAAAGAAAGTGCCACACTGCTGCTTGTTGAACCAGTCTGTTTTAGTGTTTAGTCAATCCCCTTTGAACTTCTCATGAGCAGTATTATTCTCTTTGAGTCCCGGAAGGATTTACAGCACTCACATTCTGCTGATGAAAAAACGGCAGCAGTGAAGCCAGGTTTTGCATGGTTATAATCAAGCGAGGATTTTAGATACATCAGGGAGCAGAAAGGAGGAAAAATCTACGTATCCTTAGTGTAAGCCTTGCTGCCCAATTGATTCAGTGCTGTTTGTTCTAGAGAGAGAGATGCTGCCCCTAATGATGACCAGCTGCCCTATCTCGTGCTGCAAACCTTGGCACTGTAGGGAATACCACAGATTGAAGAGTCTGTTTGAGTCTCTGAATGAGAATAAGAAAGTCAAGGTGTTTTGCCAGTCTTTATCTACCAAATTTGTCTTTCTCTTTGGTAATCAAACTTTCCTCCCTCACCCCATTTCAAGAACATCTGTAGGGCAACACAGATTTTCTGCCTGAACCAGTTTTTGATTGTGCCACAGAAATTCCGGCTTTAAGAACTGCAGTAACTAGGTCCTACTTTTACAAATTCTCCTGATGGAAAACTTCTTCTGCAGATACAATTTTAGATATTCTGTGAAGTCAGCAAGAGTGTCAGCCACCAGCCAAAAGTAGACTCTTTTCCCCAACTCCTGTAAATTTTGTGCTTTGCTTTTTTTTTTGGGGAGGAATAAATCTGCTTTCATCTGACTGTTGCCAGCAAACTGATGTGAACATCTTTTCAAATTCCAGAGGATGGCTTTTCTGCTTTTATCCATATAAATTCTGTGTATATGCAAAATTGACATTGTCTCAGAGAGCTAAAAGTGGGTATTTCAGCTCTGCAAAATCATTGCTTTCCATTTTACTGCATATTTCTATGGAAGATATAACTTCTCTGTAAAATAAAAGGTTGAACTACAGAAGACACCCAAAAGACCACCCAAAAAAGCTTCCAGTAGCAAGTAAAATATTTCTGCAAAATGTCCACAATGAACTACTGTGATAAAGGCAATGCTTGTCCTGCCTTAAAAGCAAACTCATTCTTTTCTGGATGGAGACTACGCATTCATTGGCAATTTTGGCTCCCTTATGTTCCTTCCTACCTCATGCTTCCCGCTCCTCAGGCTACAGAGGTCTGTTAATTACATTTGTAATTACCCAGCAGATGGCACTACAAAACAGAGGTCTGTGGCAGAGGAGCTTGTTTGCAGCCAGGGATTTGTCACCCTGAGGAAGAGCACAGTCTGGAAAGGCAATGTTAAAACTTACATTTTGATGATGGACAGCCCAAGCCTTAAAACCAATTATGGTAGTTAGTAATGGGAATTACGAACATCACTGCAGCTAATTAAGAGGGCTGCATTCTTCTTTGCTGGCTCAATGCAGGTTTCCTGTCTCCAGAACATCAGGTAGTATCTGAAGTCTGATCATCCCAAGCAGAGTCTGTCAAGACAGGCCGGCTGTGTTGTGCTTGTGGCCAGGTAGACCTTGTGCAAAAGTGACCTAAGTCCGGGCTGCTCTCTGGAAGTAAAAATAGTCCTAATTCTTGATCCTGGATTTTCAAAATATCTGCTCGCTGCTTGGACATGGCCAGTAAATCTGAATCCTGAGCCAAATTCTTTGGGTTATTTATTAATGGTAGAGAGCTGAATATTTTTTTCCATTTTTATCTCTCCAGGTGTCATTGAATTCATAAAGGCTTTGGCTGTCTTCTTATGATACGTACTGTTTCTTGCCATGCTGTGATAAATGCCACCTTCTACAATTCCTGTTTGTTACACAAGTTTGGCTGTTTTTTTTTTTCTTGGTTGTGTGAATAAACTAGGAACAGATAGAAGAACACAGGGATACTACCTAGCCTCAGTTATTATTATGATACTAATGTACTAGCCTTCACTTCTTTAGTTTAAATACTCATGCTGATGTTATTCCATGAGGTTTTTCTAATGATAGTTCCATCATTTACTAGTATTAGTGGTAGAAAACAAATTTGTAAGAATCTGAAAAAAGATATTTAAAAGATATTTTGCACACTTTTTACATAGTATGCATGCCTGTGCCCTTCCACTATTAACTTCAAATAAAGCTCAGCAATCTCCTCTTAAAACAGATATTTGTCATAACATAAGCTAAAGAACATAAGCCAGTGCCAGTAGAATGTCTAAATTTAGCCTGTTGACTCCATTCTATGCCTGACTCTGTGAATAAAGATGTCAAAAAAAATAACATCAGTTTCATTGCTTTTCCTGACAACAACTGTATCCTGTAGAAGGACTGCACTCACTTGAAAATCATGTGGGGAATCTCAAATGCTTGTTTCCTTTGGTATTTATTAGCTGTCAAAACCAAAATTCTTAGTTCATCTATGCATTTGCCCCATTATATTGCCTTTGTCATAGTACTGATGATTAAGATCTAAATATATATTTTTCCATTTGATTAACCTAAATGTATGTCCAAGACCATGCAAGTTTGTAATAGATTCAGAAATTTGTTTGCAGGCTCAAGTTTGGTCTCAATAAGCTTATTTATTTATTTTTTTTTAATCACATTGGGAAATGGGAAATGCTGTGAGTGATATTTCTTCCTTGAGCATTAACTGTTAACTTTTTTAAAAAGAAGATTTTTTCCGCATTCAGATGAAAGCAATATTTTAAAAAAATCTAAATTATTTCAGTAATTCCTTCCCTGCTTCTTTAATGATTTTTGTTTTAACTATCTGCAGAATTTCCAACGTGCTGCTCTGCAATGTGACAGATCGGGTGTCATTTTGGTTTGTGGTCACAGATTCTTCCAAAAATGTGACAACTGTTCCTGGAAGTGAGGTAGAGGCAGCCATCAGGTACAGTCACTGCTTCTGCAACCTTTTTTTCCTTCCTGGATGCTTTCTCTTTCTGGGCCTTGTAAGAATGAGGCTTGTGCCTCTTTAAGAATGAACTAATACAAGTAGTTAAAACACCAGGGGGTCACTACTCTTTCATGTATGTGAGATTATAGGATTTTGAACAGTCCCACAGAATGCAAAGCGGGTGAGCCTTTGGATTGTAGCTTTGGATGGAGTCTCTCAATGCTGGAGCCTCAGAAGAATTCTAGTCCCTTGAGCCCTACCTGTAATTTGCTGTCAGTGTGTGGCACATACACTGCTCACATCCAGCTGCTACATTTGCCATGCAAGAGCCTTCTCCCTCAGGTGGCAGAGTTGCACGTTTTCTGGGTGGGATTTATATAATTTAACTTTCATTGAATGCCACATGCACATCCACACCCGGACTAGTGACCATAGGCTACTTTTCAGTGCTTCTCAAGTACAGTTCATCTGACTTAATTTAGAAATCAGCTTTCACATGAGAAGAGCTCATGTGAACTCTTTGTGAGCAGAGCTGGCTCTGTTTCAGTTTGGCTTAAACAATTTTATACTCACATTCTTTTCATACCAGCTCTTTCTAGAATGCCAGTCAATATCATAGCTGAGCATTGCTTGTACAAAGTACCATGTGGTACAAATCAATTTGCTTTTTCCTAAATATCACATTCTGTAGCCAATAAAAGCAAGAGTGTGGAGCTGAAGAGGGGAAAAGAAAAAGTAGGTAATCTGACTTCAGTGGTCTACCAAACCTGCAAAAGGGTTTTATAGGGATGACTCCCACAAGCAGCATAACTCACGTACTTTTCTCAAGCAGAGTGGAAAACAGACCTCTTTGTTTTTAGGCATTTTGTACTTTGTCTTGAAAATTCATGTTATCTCTGTGGAGGTGTGATGCCTAATTCCTGATGAATGAGTATGTGTTCTTTTGGAAAGATTAACTTTTAAGCTTATGAGCAGATTAAACTATTTCCTACAGGGACACCAAACAATGGCTTCATAGCATTAGTGGAGGAAGCAGATTATTTATTCACTGAAGCTCTCTGTAAGAGTGCTGGAATGCAGGGGTTTTGCATTTCTGTTATTCTTTGATAAATTCAGTAGCATAAGCTGATTTATTTAAGTCTTTTATGTGCCCTGTTTGCCACAGAAATTAGATGCTATTATAGTATGTTTGTTTTTTAACTGTTGTCTGTCACCCAATAAATAATATACTATTTATGAAAAGTTTTAATTCCTACCCAACTTAGAAACAAGAAATAAAACAGTCTGTAATACTAAAATACTTTTTATTCAATTGCTTCTGATTGCAGGCTTCTATACTAAACCATTATTCTGATTCTTCATACTACAGTAGCACATAAGAGCACTACCCATGAACTAGAATTTTATTTTACGAGGTTCTCTACAAAGTAAGAATAAAGGGGAAGGCAAACCTCCTCAGATCTCTGTATGAGACCCAAGATCTTACATAAATATACACAAGATATATTTATACATATACAAACACGAAATGTACCTGTGGTTGCCTGCATGTGTTTCAGCACATAATTCTGTAACTCCAGCAGTTAGATGAGGGTGAACAATGCTCATTTCAGCTGCTCACAATGATCCTTTCATATCAGTAAGGATGAAAATCTTTTCTGAATCAAAGACAGCTTACTGTATAATGAGCCTTATAATATGCCTTGGCTTTCAATCCTCTCCAGGAATGTTAGCTTTCCATTAAGGCTAAGAAACTCCTGTTTAAGGGACAGTCAAATGTTAGGATTTCCAAGAAAAGAAATTTGCAAAATCTTACCTGTATTTCCCATATATCTGTTCTTAGGACATACTTGCTCTATGGTAAATAAATTGAATTGTATACAAGAAAGAGCTGCTGTAAGTCATATGACTGCAATCAAAAAGAATCTCTCAACACCGATATATGTAATACATTTTCTCAAAATTTTATCATTTTGAAAAAACTAATGAAAGATACTGCTAAAGCCTCTTAAGGCTACTTAGATTCAGATCCAGAAATACCTTCAAATGCTTAGAAGTAGTGAGTGTGGGTGAAGATATCTGTTAAAGGGTAACAGTTTTACTACATATATGAAAAAAGTGCATTTCTCAGACTTACAGTTTCTCCTAATGGAAAAAATGTGCAAAGTACAAATCCCTTTAGCTGCGTCCTGCAGGGAAGAAGGACATAAGTTGGCAATAGGGGTTGATTCTTCTGGACTAAATTGTACCCTGTGCTTCATGGACCTAAGAAAATCTACAGCAGCAAGAGCAGATGTACCGGCCCATAACATGCAGGGTGGTTCAGTTTGAGGCACCAAGGGGCATGGAGAAGTGAATCCTCTGAACATTGCAGGGTAGATCTGCCACTCCCATGCTAATCGTGAATGCTGCATGAGCGAGACAACAGAGACACCCTTACAGATTACAGCCTGCTATGTCTTCAGCACATGGTCCAAAACAGAAATAAATAATAATACTGTACTTCAGATCTCATCTGTATTTCCCAATTTTTCAGATAAATGCGTACAGAAGTCTGGTGTTCAAAACCTTGTATGTGGGTCTGTGTAATCCTACCAACATCATGCTGAATCAAATTCAGCCCTGACAGACTTCTAGCACATATATGAAAATTCTTTTTTTTTTCTTCTATCTTTTTAATTTATAAAATACCTTTATAAAGAGTTTTGGTTTTCTTTGTGTTTTTATCAAGGATGAACCGGGACAGAATCAACAGTGCCTTCCTACTGAGTGACAAAACACTGCAGTTCCTGAAGATAACCTCAACTTTATCACCTCCTGTTGAACCCTCCACGCCTGTCTGGCTTATCGTATTTGGTGTTGTTCTTTGTCTCATTGTGGCTGGAATTGCTTTCCTCGTTGTTGCAGGGATTCAGCAACGCAAGAAGTAAGCAGCTTAGCTTTTCTCCTGTTTTAACTGAATACTGGAGAGTTAAGTCAGCTGGGCTGGTTTTGCTTTTCAGATCAAACTCGGATAACTTATATCTGTAGCCCCCCCCTCCCCCCTCCCCCCTCCATAAGTAAAAGTAACCCATGTGTTCTCTTCCAAGGAAAGGGGTTAACATTTTTAACTGTGAAGCATAGATGCCTTAGTAATGTTGGGGTGCAATGAGGAAATAGGGACTATAAGAATATGGTCCTGGAGGCCACCTAGCTGGATATATTTACAAAGATATTTTCTGTCATTCTTCTCAAGGTTTAGTGTGCCACAGGTGAGCCTCTTCTCACAGAAGCTTTCTCACAAATAGCTACCAAGAGGAAGAAGGCTGGCACAGTGACTGTGCCCCTTCCAGGACGGCAGTGTCAAAAGCTGACAAGGTTAAAAAAAATTTGCTGCTCCAGTTTGAGAAGCCTCATCAGAGGACACAATAACGATTAATGAATGGCTGAAGAGGGCCTGCTCAACGGAATGCTGCATGGTGTCACCTACCATTCATGACCTGACAAGTCCAAAGTACCCAGCCCTTCACAGGTTCATGACCAGAACTGCCCATGAGCCTAGGTGTTTGGTGTTTGGCAGTAGGGTAGGAGAGAGATACCTTCTTTTCCTCTCAGTTTCTGCCCTGTGGTGAAAGAGAGAAGGCTATTCGTGCTGCCATAGTGAGAGCATGTTGGAGCAAGAGAGAGTAGGTGGAGTTTTGATCCTGCGTTCTCTGTTGGCTGACAGTTGGGCATAAAGAATAGAAATTTCTCAGCTGAGCTGAGATTCTACCATAGAAGTTCAGCTTCTGCCATGCCTTAGGCTGCCACAGACGTTAGGTTAACACAAAATTATGACTTCAGCAACAGAGTCATGCAGGAACAGCAGAAGAATTGAAAAAGGGTAGATTTCTGCTGACAACTAGATAATGTTAAAATTATTGATTGTATGGTGGTATACTGCATCCCCAGATAGAACAAGGGATTCAAATATGAAAAGTGGTGTGTTGCAGAGACTTTTCCTTTCTGCTTAATTATCACCTTGAAGAACAATGTTTAAAGACCTCAGAGAAACAGCACTTATTGCAAAGGATAAGTGCCTCTCATAGAGAACCCTCAGTAGTGTAGTCAGAATCCCTTCAGTTATATTTTGCATTCAAAAGAGCTGCATGATTTATAAACCCCTTTCTGTTTTCAAAACCCAAAATTCCACAAACAGTAGATGAGAGATGCTGTTGGGGAAAGATTCTGGACAGGTACTTGGGATCTGTGGATAATATAAGCCCTGTCACAACCTTCCATGTGGTATGAGCTGAGTTATTTCATTCATTGAACCTAGGCAACCTCTTTTGTAAAACTGGAGAATAATGTTGCTACCTGAAGCCCATACCTGCCCTCTGTGTAGTATTATGGCTCTATGTTTCTATATAGTGCCTAACTTAAAGGGAGTGTTTGAACATTTCAAATAAGTGTAATATAAGTAGTGTTAAATAACTATGATTTTTCTAGCTAAAATAATAATTTGTGCTTCATATCATGCTGAAAGACAGCATTCCCCCCCCTCTATTTTCAAAATAACTCAGCTGAGCTTGAGCAGTTCCCCTCAATATGGTGTGAACTACATGTTCTTATTGTCATGCTACCGGTAATCTGGATTGTTGTTGCCTGCCTACAGACACTTGACATCCTCTCTGTTTGAGGCTTTTGTTGTCCTTTTAGTTTTTACGCTCCTTTTCACTTCTCCCTCTGTTTCCCTACTCTGCCTTTACGTATAACCTTTCCTTAGTGCAGATTCATGTGTGACTGAACTCAAACCCTTCTTTCACATCAATGGCATCTTCAGGCAGGGGCAGGGGAGTGAGGGAGAGGGTAAACCAAACATACATTTATTCCATCTACTGTTGTAAAGACTGGAGAGGTAAAAGGGATGGTCTGGGTTATTTGGCTTCTTGAAAGAAGAGCCAGACATCAGAGAAGAGAATTTCAAAAGTGCTCAACTCTTTCAGGCATGAAAGTATGTGACCAGGTTGTCAAAGATTTCAGCATGTTTAGTAATGAGTTTTCTTGGAAACCTGTGCAGAGCTGACATAATGGCAGCTCTGTTGCCTAGTAAATTGTGTTGGAAGTCTGGCCTCAAGGACAGTGTTGACTTTTCAGAAATCTGGCAGTTTGTCTTTATAGGCCTTTAAAGTATCAGTTAAATACCTCAGTTCAAATAAGCCCAAAAGCACATGCTTCGGGCTGTTCATACTCAAGGCGGCAGGGAAGCACATGATTGGCTCATAATGGAGTTTCAGTAATGAGTTAGACTCACACATCATTTCTTGAACTGAAAGATTTTCTTAATTAGGTCTTCACTGTACATCACTGCCAACACGTAAAATTTGAAGCCGCAGCTGCCTGCGGCTTGAAGGGGTCCATGTGATTGTAGCCTTTGACTCTGCAGAGAGCTGGATCAGGCACACTGTCTCCCAGCCTTATGTTTGTTCTCCTGTCATTGCAGCAGTAGGACACCTCCCTCTCCGATAATAGATTTGGCACATATCCAGGGCAGGACCATCCTCTACTGGCTATGCTGAACTAGACTGATGTCTACCCCTACCCCCCAAAATCCTGTCTGCAGCAGAGGCCATAAACATTTGCCTTGGGAAGAGTGAAAACAGAGTAAGCACACACAGTGTTTCCCTTTATTACTCTCCTAGCATCTAATTTGCAGCTGGGGGCCTTCCTGAGCTGGATTTGGTCTTTGTGTACTGGGTAACCCACAATGTTTTCTCTTCCCTTAACTTGTTGAGTCTCCCCTTCGACTCACAGGAATTTTTAGCTTCCCTGAATTCCTATGGCAACAAATTCCACATATCTCCAACTCCTCTCATTTCTTTTGAACCTGCTTCTTAGTATCTTCTTTTATGTTCTGCCCTCACAGTTTTGATATTAAAGAACGCTCCTTTTATCATTGTAAGAGCAGATGCAGCAGTCAGAGGTTTCCACTACTACCCTCTGTGTTTACTTTTAGCAAGTCTGTAATGCCAAGAATCTCCCCAAAGCCAATATAATTTTATTATTGTTAATATGGATGTTATTAGCAGTTACACTGAGTCAGGCTGTTATGATTGTCCTGAGTCAGATTCTAACAGTACATGTTGCAGGATAGGAAGAAGCAGTGGAGCTGACCTTTGAGTTTCTTATCCTCTGAAACCGCTGATGCTGCAGGCTGTAAAGTACAGCAGGTTTTTCAACTATGAACTAGTAGATCTCAAGGTCAGAATAAATCTGGAATTAAAGGAACATCATGACATGTTGACTGATACTTCTGTATTACGTCATCTTGTGGTTGAATTTTTAGATAATTTTATTCAGCAGCTATTTTAATATGCTTTTGGTGAGAACTGGAGCATGGAAAAGTAAAAGCTGTGCAATTGTTTGATCTAGAAAACAAAAGAGTAAAATACTGAGTAGGAAGGTGGCTGTTAATGAAGTTTGAACTAAAAATGCAGATTTACAGCATTAGGAGTACCTAACTTTTGGAGAAGATCATCAAGGAGTGTGAGAGCACTCAAGTCTCCACATTTGGAGGCTATAGTCTAAAGCTGATCTGTTTCTAAAAAGTATGCTTTAATTTGTCTACTTCATGGGGTGGAATCTATGACATACCTAATAGGGTCAGACTAGATGTTTAGTCCAGTCTTTCCTGACATAAAGCAAAACCAGATTTGGATATTTCTTCTGTTTTTCCTTTTCACCAGCTTTTCCTTATGCACTCTCCAGTCATTTTACAGAATAAGAAGGTGAAGTAATATTTATAACATACTTACAACGTGTTTACTCTAGGTTTTCTGATTCCCAATCCTGACTGCAAACCACTAAACCAGGTCTTCCAATTTGTGGGCCTCTCACCTTCCATGGTATATTTACAACAGCAAAGAAGTGCACCAGACTATGCCTTTCAGAACATAACCTATGATAAACTTCTGACTAAATGTGCAGTTTTCTGTCTGTGGAGTCATGGAGGACTTCTGCAGGTCAAGAGAATAAGATTATTTTCTCTTTCTTGTTTTTTAGAAAGAATAAAGAGTCAACAGAGAGAGAAAATTTAGAAGAGAAAGACGAAGTAACAGTAACAGTAGAAAATGGGATTCCTTGCGAAGTGCTGGATTTAAAAGCAGGCCACATTAACGGCGTCTTTGCAGCAGATGATGAACGGTTCACGTCCTTATGAAATGCTGCCATTTCTATCTGGTGGTTTTTTGAAAGACTCCTGTGCCTACCTTATCTCATCACTACTCCTGAATGTCAAACATGAAGACAAGAAAAATGTCCTTTCACTTAATTTCCCTCGAGGGAACGTTTTGCTGATAACAGATACACTCGAACCTCCATTACAAAGCTTTTGTTCATGAGCAAAGCAAATGAGAAGACCTCAAATGATACCCATTAAAGATTGCCAGAAGATGTGTCGCAGAACAGGGTTGAGACCTGCCTTGTGTCAGGCATTTAATTTTTAATGATTATTTAAATATGTCCGTTGCTTGTTTTTCCTTGATATAAATGTGAAACTGCATTATTCCAGAATGTCGCTAGGGAGATCATCTATCATTGTCAATTCTTGCTGGGCTTTCTTTCAAGCCATATGCAAAAGTTTCTCTGTAAAATGACTTCTATTTGCTGATATGCCTTTGGATGGAATAGCGGTCAGTGCATGAAAGTTTTCATTTATCGAGATAAAAAAAAGCAAGCTTTCACAGCCTCTGTAAGAGCGGTTTAAAAAGCGGATGGGTCATCTACAGCTTTAGATCTGATACTAAAAGTGTTTTTCAATTAGCAGTCGAAGTCACAGATTACATGACCTGGAAATTGAAAGTTGCAGAAGTTTTAAATTTGTTGAAATTAAAAGTTGCAACAAAGGGCAGATTTTCCGAAGGTGCAACCTGTGGTTAGTGGCCCAGCTCTCATTAAATCTATGAGGGCATTTTGCAGCTCTTTGAAAAAACCTTCCTTACATTTTTTAGTAATAAAACTAGACTATATTTCCAAGACATAGCCAACCCGGGGTCAGATGAATGTTCATGTGACAGCTGGGTAGCTTTTGAAAAGATTCAATGCTTGAAACACCAGCTGCTGGGCTTGGTGCACCTGGCCCGAATGAGGACATGTAGGCGGTGGCAAGTCACCAGAGACGATTCAGACCTGTGTTTCCTGTTTGTGTGGCTGTGGGTTGAGGGCATCAAATGGTGCCAGACCCTAAACTGCACTGCTGGATTACTTTGAAGTCAGACATACATACAGACTGTGCTGTCTGTGCCTTAATCTTGTTCTCATTTAGATCAGTGATAGAATTCTGACTGATTTCAGAAGAACTGGGCCCCAGCGAAGGGGAGTTGTATGTGTGGGTAACTCTACACAGAGAGTGGAAGTGTGTTGGAGCAAAATATGGCATCTGCAGTCACCAAGCAGCTGCCCACATCACTGGAGGCAGGATTTGACCATTAGCCATCGTGTTTCCAGTGTAGTGTTCGGAGGCAATATTAGAGAACCCATTTACTTATTAGAGTTATTCCATCAGACTCACCAACAGGAACAGGGTAAAAGCTGCTTGTAAAGGACTATCCAGGTTCCTGAAGGGTACAAAGATTTCTTGTCTCCCAGGGAACAAATCCTTCAGCATTTTGGCTGTATGGAGCACCTTTGGCTGTCCATTTGACTGAGCGCTGGCTCTTGAGTACAAGGAATGGGGAGGAGAAGAGGAAGCAGTGGGTTGAAGGGAGGAAGCTGAGCGGGAGAAGCCGAAGGCCAAAGGAGGTGGGGAGAGGAGGGCTAAATTCAAAATAAAACTGTGGAACCCACTGATCATTTGCCTCATGTGATCTCCTGTTGTCTTTGATGTCCTGCTGGTGGGTCCCTCTAGACATGGATTGCATCTTCTCTGTGTGTGGGAGGGTGTGCTGCTGCATTCTGGAAAAGGATTAATAAAGTCAGCTATTAGTGATAATATCTCAGTGCTTCAGAATTACCATCCACAACATGGAGATGTATTTCTCACAGGAATGTCAAAGATTAAGCTTACCAGCATTTGAGATCATTTGGAGGGAAGATAGAGTACAGCGTTATTATTGCTTCCTCAGCCATTGCTGCACGGTCTTTCACTCAGGCAGAGTTTTATTGAGGTAATTCAGATCCCGTCATTTCTAAACCTTCACACTTTCCACATTCTTTGTATGACAGATAGCTACACTTCAGTGTGACCACAATGGATTACTGTAACTGCAGCATGTCTGCAAGAACTCATGAAAGATTTCGGTGAGAATAGCTTGGTGGTGCAAGAGCAACCTTGAGCTACCAGTTAAGTCTTACTGTATTGTACTATATGATAATCAAAATAAAATTAACCTGATATGAAAAAGGGCTAAATGTATTTGAGATACTTCTCAAGGCCTGAGTGGAGGTTCAGTTCAGTCCATGGCACTGGCCAGCGATTTGAAAATAGGTTGAAAGCCTCTGAACAAAACATTACATGATGTGGGCTGACTCTGGAGGTAAGTATTTAATCACTGACATCCTCCCAGCTCACCTCTTAGCCGCATAATTGCTTTACAGCAGTTTGGTGTAATTTTCTGCTAATGATGATATGGGATTCACCCAGAGCATACATCTTGCTTGCCTCTCTGCTGACAGGAAATGGCTTGAGAGAAGCAAATGATACACGAACAGCAACACTTTGAAGTCACTGTTGGTATTAGCTCTTTCACCGAAATAGCTACCACAGACTAGGTTAATCAAGGGCACAGTGCTACAGAAGAAATAAATCTCTTTTCTGGTCTCTTTGTGCAGCAGGATCGTATTAGAAGACAAAGAGCACTTTGATTTGGTAAAGCCTGTCCTCCAGAGCCTGCAAATGGTACGATGACAATTTATATCCCTTGAGGATCTGGCCCAGATGTTTTATGTAACTTTCATTGTTTTTTTTCTCTAAACCACCTGCTGTCAAACGACCTGATAATAAAAAGTGAAGTGAGTAACAAGCAATATAGACTATACTGCAAACTACTTCCTGAAACAATGAGTTGGTTCTGCTTTCAGTTACATTTGTGCCGTGCCAATGAATTTTGACAAAGGACCATGGTGTGCCTGAGTCCGAACTGTTTCATTTTCAAGAGCCGCATTTGAGGAAAGAGAGGAGAAAAGAAAATCCAATTAAATGAAGCAATAAAGTCAGGGAAGTTGTGTTTGAAGAAAATCTGCGACGTTTATCGCTAGCTTCACATCCCTAGCAAGTCGACATTTCAGGAAGGACGTTACAGTTCTGTTCAGCTTACTTGAGAGAGTGTATTGAAGTCGAGGCTAGAATGAGCACAAATCATGCATAAGTAAGTTGTTCATGCTGTCAGTCATTAGCTACACATTTGGTGTGCTGGAGATCAGGAAGTCTGCAGTGCCCTCCTTAAATTAGGGACCGCACTGGTTGTGACACAACTGTTTGCTGTGCACAACCTTCAGCACAGTATTGACCACAGACTGGTTTTGTGAATTAAATTAGTAGTCCTTGTTTATCAATGTTTATTTAGGGAAGATTGCAAACTGTGAGCAGATGCTGAAGTCCTTACTCGAGCCATTCTGCCACTTGCTTTAAGGAAAGCCAACCCCCTCTGTCCTGCAAGCTGACGCTTACTCTGTGTTGGACAAAACTAGAGTGAAGCTTTTTCTGTCACATCAGCATTTGTCCCTTCTCTTCCAGGACAGTGTTCAAAGTCTTGAGAGAGTCTGCCTGTGGTACTCACCCCTAAACATCTCCCTGTTAGCCCACCTTGAAGTCTGGTACTCACAACTGGACCCAGTATTCCCCTGGGGCTCTGCTGGTGCTGAAGAGCCTGGAGGGGTGACCTCATGGGCCTGTTGCAGACCATGTGCTCCTGTTTGTCTGTCCAGGTAGGACACTTGTCTGTCACTGTGACCTTCATGGAGAACCATTTCCTTGCTCTGCCTTTGTAAGGGACACCTTTGTCCTGCATTTTGAGGGAAGACATAACTGAAGCCAGTGCACTGTTTCTGCTGCTGTTCACAAAACAGAAGGGTGAAGTGGGCACAAGGAGCCTCAGGGCAGGATTCAAGTCTTGTTCCTTCATCACTGTGAGAATGAAATTACCAAATTATTACAAATCACAACATTAGCACAAGAGCTTCCGGTTTGATAATTTGGTTCCAAGAACCGGGCATCAGTTTTGATCAAGCAAGGAGCATTATCACATCTTGACAGAAAGAGTTTTTCACATGTAACCTCCCACCTGTGGGAAAACAAAATAAATTACTTTAAAGTTTAGGGCAGAAGTGCAACAAAGACTTAAAATAACTCCCAGTGAAAAGCGGGAGTCTGTATTTCTAGATACTGTTAAAAACATGGTTCAGATGTCCTCAGAAATTTTGTCAGGTCATCAGTGCAGTAACCCATGACTCATGAAATGAACTGTTTTAAATGCAGCAAGTTTTGATAGAAAATTCATTGACCGACTGTCCACAATCCATTAGCAATGAGCGATCTGTGCTTGGTTTTTGGTGAATAGTTCCTTTTGGCAACTCATGAGTTTTATTTCCTCTTAGTGTGGTGTGCAAGAAGGGATGTGTGCAACAGAGTGATACCACAGCTTCCTATGTTACTGGACAATTGCTAATGAAAAATTTGTGCTGTTAGATATGCCTTATTTGGTGGACTGAACTTGATAGTTTTCAGATCACATAAAGCTAAAGTACACTGACAGTGGTGATTGATACACACTTGCCAGTACAAATGTGTCAGTATATTCTGTTTTGTGAATACATTAAGCACTGTGAGTGCACTTAGCATAATGCACCTGCATTTTAACTGGATATCCTGTGGCTGGATTGATGTTTGCATCAATCCACCTTTATAGGACAGGAATTCCACCTTGATAGCGCAGATTCAACTTTGTTCTCAGTAAAGTCAGCAGGTTCAGTAGGAACTGAATTTGAATTAAGATCAAAAAGAAAAGTTTGATTTTGCTAGTCTGTCCTCTTCCTTCCTACTGTGTTTACCTTTTCCTTAGAGGTGGCATTCTGAAGCTATCAAAGCATCTCATTACACACAGCAATAGCTAAATGGAAGCATTTGATTTTAGAGAAATGTTGAGAGTGTTCTGGCATTATATCTATCAGCTTCTGCCTCTCTCCTATCTTTTATATTCTAATTGCTACCAATTACAGTGTGTAGCTTTTATCAGTTGTGGACCAACAGGAATTTTAGACTTTGGACTAATGTTCTCTGTGATATTATATCTAAACAACATTGTAGGTGCTGATGTGCTGACACATGGTCACTGTAAAACGAACTGGAACCACTCACTCCTGCCTTAGTAAAACTGAAATGAGAAACACAGATTGCCTAGATGAAAAGCTGTTTTTCACAGGATCAGTACCCTTACCTTCATTTGTGGGGTGAGGTGGCTTTTTGTAATGGACAAGGTGTAAGGAATACAGACTACTGTGCCCCTGAGTGGTTCCTCTCTCCTCTGCCTTCTTAACATATGGTCTTGATTTTGGTTTTCAGCAATGACACTTTATGATATCCTAAGTTAACCTGCAGGTTTGTACACTCACCTGCCTTCCTGAAAATCATGCAGCTTCAAAGCTTTCTCCTAAACCTTGCAAAACCACTTTGGTTTCCTGATGCTTCAAGCAACTGACAGCATCTTTACACAGCTCCTGATGTTGTCTTCAGATCTGGGGCTTGCCCCTGACCATGGGGCACTTTCCCCCTTGGTGATGCTGAGCATGCTTTGGTTCAGGGAACAGCCACCAGCCTGCACCTCCCTTGGAGCACAAAGGAGTGGTGCAGAGGCAACAGTTTCTCTCTTTTAAGTCCAAAATCCAGGGGGAGAAGCAGCCTGTCTTGGGACAGGAGGTTATGGAGGGATACAGATTAGTCATCCAAGGCAGTGGCCCCAGCCTTGGGCTGGTGAGGTGCAAACCTCTCCCTGCTCCAGGAGGTCACCAGGATATGGCCGCATGGCCGAGCCAGCTGCAGGAGGGGGGTGCAAGCCAGGCAGCAGCCTCCCGTTGTTTCTTCCCCTGTGAGACAGAGGTTCTGAGTGTGAGGCAGTGGGTGGGAATTCTCAGTGCTCTGAACTCATCGCCTTGATCTCCATTCCTGTTGGGCAATGGGGAATTAATCTGACCAGCTGCTGATCTGCCCTGTCTCATTCCTGCAGAGGAAGAACCAGCCAAGCCCAAACTGCTGATGCTGGGGATGAGACTGGCTACTGGTGCGTGTCTTTGGCACAGGAGCTGGTCCCGGGTGGCTCGGAGGTCGAGCAGGACTGGCTGTGCCTGCCTGCAGAGCAGCGGAGATGTCCATCCTCCTCGCCACCACACAGCTCTGCTCCCCACCTAGAGAGCTGACACAAGGATCTCACGAAAACCCCCTCTTGTAGGAGGGTTCCCAGCGTGGGGAAAAACGCTGTCGCAGGGGATGAGGGCAGCTGGTGAGCCAGGGAGCCAGCGCCCTGGCCCCAGCACCGGCGGGAGGGCTTTCATCCGAGAAAAGGCGGATGTCACGCATGCAGAAGAGTTAGTCATGTGGGAAAAAGGCTGCTCCTTGGGGGATTAAAAGGACTATTTGCCCAGCCCCCAGTTTGAAGCACAAGGAAGAGAGGGAGGATCTGAGGTTGGCCCCCAGTGATGCCCAGGTACGGCTGCGGCAGCACAGCCCCTCTCCAAGCACCGCTGCTGTATCAGGGCGATGTGGAGAGGGGCTGAAGCCACCCCAGGCCGTCCACTGCCTCCACAAAGCCACTTTACGGAGAGTCCTCAGAGCAAGGATTTGCCAGGTATTTAA